AGCCGTTGCGGTGGCGTAGAAAGGCAAAAACATAAAAGCTCAGCGAATCTGTTGAGTTCCGTCTAGTGTTGCGTAGCCTCCGACAATGATTGAAGTATTGAATGAGATGATTGATCGTATGCTCCCCACCGGTTCCTTCAGTGTTTGGTTCGGTACACATTGTTTGGCTACGAGCAAAAGTATTGAATGAGATGATTGATTGTATGCTCCCCACCGGTTCCTTCAGGGTTTGGTTCGGTACACATTGTTTGGCTACGAGCAAATGAGCTGGAGAGAAACTTCCCGGAGTGGCAAACCGAACCCAAGGTGGTGGGAAACGATGACGAGAACATTTCAACTTTTTGCAGTGCGAGTACGTAGACGTTGGAGCGAGCAACACGATTTAGCGCTCATGGATCTGAACCACGGAGTGGCAAACCGAACCCAAGGTGGTGGAAACGATGACAAGAACATTTCAACTTTTTGCAGTGCGAGTTTGAGACGTTGGAGCGAGCAACACGATTTAGCGCTCACCCCACCACCGCTCAACCGAATGTGAACACATTTGAAAAGAGTTTGAAAGTGAAAACGTCGAGCGCCTGTTTACTCTGCCGCCCCTGCGGCTGTTTATGGTTTCTACCTTCCTCCGAGACTCCCCTCAGCCTTGTGGGCCAGCAGCTGCAGATGGAAGGTCAGCGGGCACTTGGTGTTATTGTGTTGACAGCGCCGAGAAGGCACCGGGCGTTCCTCCGACTGATATGCGTGATTCCGCTGTGCCGGCCATGCCTAAAAGTGGAACATTTCAATGTCCGCTTCATCGTTGCCAGAAAGCCACCGCTTGACACGAGTACTAATTGTTTTTTTTCATTGCTGTTAAACTGCCCGTTCGAAAGCACCCCTCCTGACAACAAAAGATAATTGTAGAGTAATTGAGCGCCGCTCGAAAGAACATCCTGTGCCGACGCCTTATCACACTTGAAGCTTTTGAATGAACTCGGCTCGCTTGACGTTTGTTTTTGCCGTAAACATGAAACGAGCTTTTGGATTGCGATCATTTCTCTTTACCCCGGCGTGCGTTTGCTTGGCTCCGGAAGGGGCTTCCTGTTCACAACCTTGTAAATGCGCATTGGAAAAAGTGCAACGCAACAATGAAGAATAATTATTGATCGCACTCTTGACTTTGATTGAAGAGATCCGAATGTTTAGCCTGAAAACAAGGAATGAATAAAAAGATTTGTCACTTTGTTGAGTTCTTCACTCCTATTTTTATATACTTCACGCCCCCCCCCCCCCGGCACACCTGCTAACCTCATGAGTGCTCGGAGTCCAGACGCCGAGTCTCTGCATCGAGAGGAGCCAAACGAGGTGGCTCGGGCATCGTGTCACGATGCCTGCCGGAGGCGTTCCGGGCACGTCCCACTGAGAGGAGGAAAAACCAGGACGTGCTGCAGAGACGCTCTCCCGGTTGGCCTGGGAAGGCCTCGGGACCCCACCGGGATGAGTCGGATGAAGCGGCTGGGGGAAAAGAGGCAAGTCTGGGCATTCAGGTCTCATACATTTGAGAATTTTTACGATTAGAACACAGATTCATGTATCGCTCGTATTTGTTATCTATGTGTCGTATGCGTGTGTGTGTCATTTATTTGTTCATTTTTGTTTATTTCGAGGTCAGGCTGATACCAGAAGCATTGAACGTCTCGGTCATCACAGTGAATGTCGCGCTGCCCCTGACCTTCCCCCGTCCCACCCGAGTCCAGCTGTTCCCACAATTGAGAGTTTCCCAAGCCCCCCCCAGAGCACCCTGGCTCCGGACCCCCTTCTTGTCCCGCACTCCCCGTGGCCTTACTGCCCGCCCGCGTGCTCCTCTTGGCAGCCAAACAAGCAGGGAGGATCAGTCCGACCGGGCGGCCGAGATAAGGCCCGCACGAAGTTCCCCACATTACCTCACTCGATAAGGGAACGAGCGAGACGGCGCAAAAGGGGGGGCGGATGGGGTCCCGCTTTTTTTTTTTTTTTTTTTTTTTTTGGAATACTCTGGACGGATGCTGACGCACTCGGATATCTGCTTGCAGACCGCAAGACGGAGCTGCAGAGAGACGGCGGGACCCGCTTGGGGAAACGCTCTGGACGGATGCTGATGCACTTCCCCGCTTTTCTTCGTGGACTTCTTCATCGTTGAGGTCCTGGACGCAGGTGCCACCGCCATTCCTGAAAATTCTTGACCTCAGATGAATACATGGCAAAACTCGTCTAAGTCCATCAATGTCAAACCCCGGGAATCAACCGGTGTCCAGCCGCTGGGCGTAGACGCCAACTCTTGGCTTTTGGTGAAAGCTCAGGGCCATCTGCGCCCATCCGCTTCTTCCCCACAGCGCTCATGGCGGCAAATCCTTTGGAGAGTCTCATATCGGTCGCCGTGAGCCACCAACCGGCAGAACCTGAGACCCAGCGGGCCTCCGCCCGCAGAAGCCTGCCATGCCTGCCAAAACGCAGGCATGGCAGCATCGGCAGCGACCAGGAGCTGCGTTGTCTGGTAAGCAAAAAAAAAAAAGCAGATTTCCAAAAGAATAGAATACTCTTAACGTCGTCGTGATACACCGAAAGGATGGATAATAACAGTTTGGGTACTTTGAATGGTTTAATATGCTAAGATGGTTTTTGTACATGACTTTGAGTACATACACACTTTTACCATGTTGACACTTCAGGAATTTTTTTTTTCACATTTAAATGACCTTTTTTTTTTTTAAACAATGACAATCTAATGAGCGTGCGACCTTTTGATCTATTCCGAGTCTCTATCGGGCCTCAGCATTCAATTCACTCGCTCTGATGTGACCCCGATGCTAACCAAGAGCTGATGAAATGCAAGTTGTCCTCGGAAGAATGTTTTGTACTCGGGCCTGACTGATTAATCGGCCGGCTTATTTAATCGGATGATATTAGCTAGTTTTATTAGCTATGTTTTTTCCCTGCCAAAAAAGAAATCGGCAAAAAAAATCTGTCGCTCTTTGCAGATTTTTTTTCCCCCCCTCTGTTCTGAAGTCAGATGTTCAACCTGTAATTCATCTCGATTTGTTGCAAGAGACTGAAAAACAGAAGTGATCTGATCAATTCTATTGATATTTTTCATCCATCGTCCAATGAATTGGCTCTCAGAATTTTATCCCACCGAATATCGGAATCGACATCGGGCTCTCCCTGATAGTTATGCCGTACTTCTGTGCAGTTGAATTAGCGTTTGGGGGAGACGTGAGGATATCGATGATGGCCACTATTCGTTGCACACTTGATTGAACCTACGCATTTAGTGAACCATACGTGACAATAAACAAATTGTACAAAACGTTTACTGAATGTTTTCGCTTGCTCTCTTTTTAATTTTTTTTTTTAAATTCTTTGTGTGTACCTTTCAGGTGCCATCTGCTTGCCGGCCCAGATCAAAAGCGAGGGCTCAAAAGCTCACCATCGGCGCGCCACGCAGTCATCACTCGCCAGAAAATGCGGCACGGGAGAGGAGCCGTGTGCGCAGCTTGCGTCAGGCCTTCCACAGCCTGCAGGTACTCAACAAAAACAAAAATCAGTCGTCATTAAACACGCGTCTGCTCTGAAATAGGAAACAAACAAACATGATTCCTGTTGAATTTCTTTCGGAGGATGCCCTGCCCTCGGTCCCTCGCGACACCAAGTTGTCCAAGCTGGATGTTCTGGTTCTGGCGACCAACTACATAGCCTACCTGACACAGATCCTGGACCAGGGAAGAACTCTGAGCGAGTACACCTTGCCACCAAGACCGGGTGGTTACCTGCACCCAGTTAAGGTAAAGCTGAGCTGCAGTAGAAGCAGCCTTCTACAAGTTGACCCCGTTGATTTGGTTTTTTTCCTGATTGTACAGAGTAAAAAAAAAAAAAAAATCAACAGATCCGTTCGACAATGGAATCAACGTATTCACATTGAAATTGAACTCAATTTGCCGAAAAACTGCTTGTTTTATGTAAATTGATTGATGGTGATGATAGATGGTTAAAAAAAAAAAAAAAAGACATAACAAAAACTACTGATCAACCTCTCCTACGTTTTCCCATGAAAAAGCCGCTCCTGCATATGTCTGGAACTATTCAGAAGATTTTTGGAGTGCCTTTGTACCAAATAAAATGATTCTCTTCCCGCAGAAATGGCCAATGCGTTCCCTGCTCTACTGCGGCAGCGTAGGGGAGGTGCTCTCCGGAGTCCAAGCCAATCAGACGCCTCCGTCTGGACCGGACGCATACCGACTTGAGCGTCCCGCGGAAGGAGGCGAGGAGCGTTCGGAACATACGGGACGGCCACTCAAATGACCTCCGCCCCCTTTCAAGCGACTTTCCCGAACCTTGGCGGAAACCATCATCAGGTGCTCTCTTTCCAACATAGGAAAATGAATTGTTGAGCTATTGCAGACATACGGTAAGTCTCGACCTTGAACGTGCTACTTTCCGACGACGGACTGTGAAAATGGATCCAAGCATGCTTGGATTGATTTCAGTCAGGGTGTCGCCATTGGTGACAATCACTTCAGGATCCAACGAGGCTCGTGTATAGTTGCAACCCTCTCTTGATCAACCCTCTTGGAGCTCTATTTTCTTTTTTTTTAATGAATTAAAAACCACCATGCCCGAGGGAAAATAACCAATCAAAGACAGACCAAGGTGTGAGGCGACGCTCAAATCTCGCTCGTGGTTTTTAAGCGGCAAACTGGCCCTTTAAACACCCAAAGTTGTTATTTTCGAAGAGAATTATGCTGCATGGTTATTTGACAATTTCTCACAGTTTTTGTGTGTCTTCGTCACGTGTCTGTGATGTCCTTTCATTAAAATAGCCCAAGGATCAAGAATAAAAGCACATTCTATAAAGCGTTTTTCAATTCTTGTTGGACGAAACTTTTGCTGTAGTTTGAACGTGTGTCATTCTCCCAAACGTCTATTTGATTTTTTTTTTTTTTGTGGTCTCGCTGGTCAAAATCAAGATTTCAATTTAGCAGCATTTGACACTTGTACGTTCTGATTTGAAATGACAAGCAAACTCATCAATGAATTGTTTTTTTTTTTTGTGCGCCAACTTATATAAAGAGCGTGACGGCGAAGTGCCTTCACATGATGTGTACTTAATCGAAGGACAGAAAACGGAGAGCCTCGTCCTCTCCGTCCTCCCTCCTCCATCTTTCATCCTGACAGACATTCGCACCTTTTCACCGCTCGAGATTTCAACCCAAAAAGAAACGCGGTCGGCTCTGACATTCTTTATGGATTTGCACTCCTGATTTAGGGGCCGCTTTTGAGGAGGACACTCGGCTTGCACAAATGAGATCGCGGCATTGAAGTCCAAAGCAACTCGTAAGTCACGTTGATATGCGAGCGAGGTGGACCGCAGCCCGGAGCGCCGCCACGGGCTGCGGTCCACGTACAACGGGGCCGCGTTCAAGGCTACTTCCATGAATCTGTCGGGCGAGGGGGTGAGGCCTGTGGGACATCATCATCACCCATTTTCCAGTATGTGGCGATGACTAATTTGGAGTGTCTGGAGTCTGGGATGCCAAGGTCGAACCCGCGCGCGCTTTGTACAGTCGAAGCTCGTTTCAACGTTACCTGGCGGTAATGTTCATTTTCCATTTGCCAATTTTGCTTATGACCAACAGCTGTGTCACGTCAACTTCCTGATAACGACCGGATTTTTTTTTTTTTTTTTTGTGCTGATTACCAAACTCCACATCGGATGTCTATTACAATAATCAATCATAAGAATCATCATCATTAATAATGGCAGCCCAGTGGTGGAATGGTTAGCACGTCCGCTTAACAGTGCTGAGGTTGCGACTTGGATTCTGGCCTCGGCCTTCCTATGTGGAATGTGGCTTCGTGGGTTTTCTCCGGGTACTCCGGGTTCCTCCCACATGCCAAAAACATGCGTGGCGGGTTAATGGGACACTGGAAATTGTCCCCAGGTGTGATTGTGAGCGCAAATGGTTGTTGGTCTCTGTGTGCCCTGCGATTGGCTGGCAACCGGTTCGGGGTGTGCCCCGCCGACTGCCCGCTGACAGCTGGGATAGGCTCCGGCACGCCCCGTGACCCTCCTGAGGAGAAGCGGTTCCTGAGTAGTGGAAGCCTGTTCTTCGGACAAGCTTTTCTTTTCCACCATTTAGTGTTTCATTGTCCAAATGGGGGAAAAAAAAGAAGTCGTTAAAAATGAGCAAAGCAGCGGTGGTCCATTTGAGCTCCTCCACCTGTAGGCGGATGCCTTCTTTCATCCATCCATCCAAGCGGATTCATGTTGAAGACAGCTTGCGTCCAACTTGTCTGCCCCCTCATCCGCTCACGTTTGCAGATAAACTCCATCTTTTGCTTTCTCGGGCCAGAACGCTGATGGTGGGGGGGAAATTTATGGTGCGGCGTGGCCACACTCCCCGTTTTGGCTGCACTCGTTGCTCCAAAACGGCCAGAAGCAGTGGGAGAAGAGGAACACGGAGAAAAGAAGAAGAAGGAGGGAGGACACACTGGAGACTTGTGAGGGAAACGACGCAAATAGAATCAAGACGAGAGACGAGGACCTGCGCGGGTCAAAAGAATCCAATATAAAAGGAGGACGCCGTCAGGTCAAAGGTCGACCAAAGGAAAAAGGAAACGCTTTTCAAGGATCCATTTTGTCTCGTGCGCCAGACGAACAGAACTTTGCCGCTTTGAATGACTCGGATTCATTGTTCACAGCGAAAAAAAAACGGCGGGTTGTTTTCCGAAGCCACTCGCCGGTCGGCTGTGGATTCGTGCCACGCGCTCAGAAAGAAACAAGTCCGAGGACCGGCGTCGAGTGAATCGCAGACACCAGGAAGTCGAGGACCTTCAAATCACTTTAATATCACAATTGGAATCAGTCAAATCTCTCGTTCCATACACCCGATGACGAGTGAAACGTGAATCAAGACTAAAATGAATCAAGAGGTTCTCCAATTTCTTTGCGCCATCGTTCCTCTTCGCAGACGGGAATAAGGTTGACGTCATTTCTCCACGACAAGATCTCACTTGTACAACAAATGAGATGTTACAACAAAATAAAGGCACGTCCGAAGCTGAGGAATCAGCTCCACATCGACTCGGTTCTTTTTTTTTTTTTTTGGAATGCTTAAGTGAGAACTCTTGTGAGATGGGATGGGACACAAACAACAATAAATATTGTGATCAACAATATTTATTCCCGGCAGAAATTACTTCGTGTCATTTTTGTGCGACCTGGCGGTGCCGAGTGTGTCTCGGTATTGGACCGTCAACAGCGTCTGCTGCTTTTTCACCCGCTTTCAGGTTTTCGATAGCGCACCCTTAAGAATCTTAAGAAAAAAAAATCATATAAATAAGATCAAACAAATGTCAGTACTCCAGTTTTGCTCTCCTCACAGTGTCAAAGGGGGATTGAGGCACGCGTCACTTAAGGCGACGTTCCAGGCACATACACTTCAAGTAATTTCAGGTTTCATGAAAGATTTGGCAAAAATGCAATCACTCAAAATCAAGATTCGTCACATACACAGGATCTCGATTCATCTTGACATTAAAATGTGAATGCAGTCGCCTGAATGTGGCATGTAGCACCGTCAAAACAATTCGTTCAAACAAGGGTTGTTTTATTAGGTTCAGTTTCTTTTTTTTTTTTTTTTTGCCCCAGACAGTTTTTTTTTGGGGGGGGGGGGGGGGTGTTCCCGATCCCGATCCCGTCGGATGGTTTTCAGGCACGTCACCAGGAAGGCAGTGACAGCTCAGATGAAGGCTGAAGCGACGGCCAAACTGTCAGTCAGGTAAGAGTTTTTCGCTGCTGACCCCCCCCCCCCAAAAAAGACCATTGTCTGGACAAAAAAAAAAAAAAACTTTGTGAAAAAAAAAAAAAAAAAAAAAAGAACCCTTAAACCTAAAGTAACCACAAGTAGACAAGATGAACGTCACCACGCCAGGTGTTGTTTTAGCGGTCTGCATTCCCAATTCGGCCTGTTATTCAACAGAGGAAAAAAAAAAGATACAAAGAAGGATAGTTTGCATATAGAATTCCACATCACATTTCTACTCTCGAAATGTGTGGAGACTTAATGTGAAATGATCAAAAAATATACACATATGATCTCAAATAGATACTCTTGTCGGAAAATAGGCGAGCGTTGTATTCTATATGCCTTGGACAAAAATTGAGGTATTTCGGAAGGACAAAACAAACATTTGCTTGGCTCCAAACGATCTCAGCGGCGAGCTACAGTCAAATCCTCATCGAAAAAAAATGTCATGTGCTCAAAGCTGCTTCACCCCTTGATTGTCTGAACTGTGCTTTTTTTGGTGGTGGGGGGGGGGGAATTCTCTTAAGAGCAGAGTGTCACTAAGACGCTCAAATTCCGTTCGGAAATGGTTTTCATCCTTGACTTCTCTTTTCAGACCGCAGTCTCGAAACAAACCCTTGGAAGCCGCGTGACCAAAGATGGCCGTGTGGAGTTTTATCACGCGGTGATGAAACTCTCATTTCAAACGAAGACAATGGATGGGTGAGTGTACGATGGGATGGGCAAGAATTCTTTGATTCCAAAAAAAAAAACCCGACCTGTACTCAAGCGACAGTCGAGATGAAAGAAAAGAAGAAAGAAAGACGTGATTACGAGTCACATACTGGCAAAGACAGTCTCCAAGAAGGGTTTTTTCGAGCAGGTCTTCGTTCGGGGGCCGCGGTGTTCAAAAGAACCTGAAATTGGACTCGGTCCCCGTTATCGTAAAACGCCGACAAGCGAGCGCGATGACGGGAAAGGAGCCACTTTCAACTCTGTGGTAGGCGACCGCCAGCGCGAATGTGAAGGAAACACCGAACGAGCGGCTAAACATCACCGAGAGTAAACCAAGGTGGTGTGAGCACCCCGCACACAACAAGAAGGGAGTTGAGCTTGGCCATTTTCCACTCTCAGATGCTATTTCTCGAGATGAAGACAAAATGGGACATTTCTCTGCTTGCTACCTGGCACAAATCCGACTTGCGCTCCTTTGGCTACGCACAAGGACCGATTTTCTGGCCGCTGTCAACTCCCGGAAGGCGCCGCTTTATAGTCTTACCTTTCAAGACTTAAAACAAAAACAAAACAAAAAAAAAGAGTTCACCAGTTTGAAAGTACTCTCCCGCATCAGATGTCAGAGCGCGGTAGCTAAATTATTGCAATCCCCAACTACAACTCAGTGTGTACCTCGTCATGGCCTTCTTTTTGCTTTCCTGTTGAGGGAAAGTGCATGTGAAGGCGAGTTTTAGAGGGCCGTTTCCTCCAGGCAGTGAGCGGTCAGCTTGCACGTTGGCAGCGCCGCCCTGCATTCCTCGTCTTCTGCTGGCGCGCTGTCGCTCTCCATTTCTTTATCCTCCGTGACCGTGTCCTCTTTGCGGTAAGCTGCTCCGTTGGCGCCTTTCTTGGCCCTCTCGTAAGGCTGCGCGGCGATTTCGTTGGACTGGTCGACAAAGACACCACTTGAAAAACAGGAAAGGCAAAAAAAAAAAAAAAAAAAAAAAAAAAAAAAAAAAAAAAAAAAAAAAAAAAAAAAAAAAAAAAAAACAACTGCATCCCGAGGCCCCCCTTCGATTGACTTTTTGTCACATTCAAATTTCGGTGACCACTGTGTGGTTTTCTTGCATTGGCAAAGGGCTACCAAGAATGTTGTCCACATGCGTACCTCCAGATGACGCCATTTGTACAAAAGTAATAAGGCGCGATTGAAAAGACCCGATGGTGCGCGGTCACCTTTGGCGCCAGAGGAGTGACGCAGCACAGTTTCTCCTTGTAGCGTTGAGGCAGAAAGAAAAGCAGATTCCCCAGGACTGGGTACACGGTTCCTGGGCTCAGTTGCTTCTCCTTCATCGGTCCTAAAATCGGTAGACTGAGTCAATTCGTACTCGGACCGCGTTGCCGCTTTCACACGGCGTACCCGTGAGCAGGCTGACGAGCAGTCCCACGACAACCACGGTGGCCGAATTGTGAGCGCTGTACCACATGTAGGACAACGAATAGAGTGCGTCGACGCCCGTCGGCCTGAAAGGTGAAAGGAAACCAAGTGAGAACAATACGGGATTTTGTGTTCTTTGCGACGCTCCGTGCAGGAAGGTCAAAGCGCCATTTCGAAATGAGCTCACCTCGGTTTGGGTGTCGTCGCGTTGACCAACGCGGTCATGACGGTCGCGGTCACGTTCTCAAAAGGGGGCGGCGTGACGGTCGCGAGCGGTGACACGGCACTCGAAGCGGGCATACGCATCACAAAACTGCCGATGCCGACCCAGAAGGCCATGGCGAGGCCCGCCGCTAAGCCCACCAGCGCCCCCTGGGGACGTCCCGCGAGAAAGCGTGAGAGCCCGCCCGTCGCGGGGCGACCTCGGGGCCGCGCCCCTCGGAAAAAGCCACACTTACGACGGAGTTGGCCCACGGGAAGAACATTCCCAGGGAAAATAGGCCCAGCAGGGGGCCGCCCACCATCCCAAAGATGCTCAAAGCCGCCTAAGGGTGGAGAGGACACGCACATATGCGTGGAGAGAAAGACATAGAAGATAAAGAATATGTGACGATAATGTGTTGCTGGGCCGTTTCTAGTCAAATCTTAGTTGCGTGATAAACCCGTCAACTCATCCAGACATGAGCAAAGTGAAACGCGGGTATGACGGCACTTTAGGATTAGACGGATTAAAAAAATAAATAAATAAAATAATAATCTAATCGTCATGGTCATGTGAAAAGTTTTGCTACCTGCAGCACAGATCCCATGACGGAAGCGAGGTAGGCCATCGCCAGACAAACCAAACCATAGGCCAGCGCTGGGAGAGACACGACAACAAATCATGACCACAAATTCTTCTCTTGTACACGAAAGAGAGAGAGAGAGAGAGAGAGAGAGCAACTGACCAAGTCCTTTGGAGAGCAGCGTGGCTTTCGACTCGGCCATGTCGGGAAAGTGAGGTTTGATGAGGTCCTCCATGGTTACTGTCGCCAGGGAGTTAAAAGCTGAAGAGATGGTGCTGCAGGGGGAGAACAAAATGCCAAACTCTCTTCAGGTCAGTCTGCGTTTTCGTTTCACCTCTCTACGGAGATTCAACTTTTATGCCCTCTTTTTTTTTTTTTTTCCAGTCTTCCCTTTTGAGCAGAATTCAAACGAAGGAGACGGGAAGCCCCCTAATACAGTCAGACTTTCCAGAAAGGAGCCCCTTGTCTCAAACGACGACTCTCCATGTTTGTACTTTTGGGTCAGCGCCGGATGAGCAGCGCTTTGCCCCGAGTTGTTTACCTGAGCGCTCCGCTGAAGAGGCAGGCCACAAACAGGCCGGCGAGGCCGGGCAGGTCCTTGAAGACATCCATCACAAAGTATAACACCATCTGGCAAAAAGACACAACACGTTTGGAATCGGCACTCGCGGCTTTTGCATCCGCACGGTTCATGTGTACCTGATCGTTTGTTTGGACGTAGCCCTTATCGAGAGGGCTGTCCTCTCCGTAGCGAGCAAACATGACCAGCCCCATCAAACAACCTAAACACAGGACGATCTGCTGGCAGGGGAAAACAACGTAGCACGACCTAGGACGGACGTTATGGGCGGGGTGAGAAGGATGGCCCAAAAAAAGCGACGCTGCGCTTCAACCAACCGCCGTGACACTCACATAATGGCCTCTTTCTCAGTGCGGGAACTGAGGTATCGCTGGACTTGGGCCTGGTTGACCCCGTATAAAGCCAGCATCAGGAAGATTCCGCCTACGCCCAACGTCCAGAAGGTGTGGCGCTCCAAAGGATCTGGGTTTAGGCTACAACAGTTTCACGCCTTTCAATGCCAATCTGCATCAAAGTCAACTCCTCGACGTCAAGGAATCACGTGTCGAGAGATTGTCGCGTCGACTCACTCGAGTCCGGCAATGCGGCTGCCGTTCACGGCTTTCCTCCAGACCTCTGAAATCCCCCCCGCCTGGTGCGCCCCGACAATGATCACCGCCAGCTGCCCTGCAAACATGACGACGGTCTGGAAGACGTCGGTCCACATCACCGCCTTTAGGCCCCCCTGAGGGACAACGATCACACAAGAAGAACAAGATTCAGTGGAATTTATGGCCGAGGCGGCAATTTCATTAGAAGCGGCTTTCACCAGCGAGTGTTTTAGTGCTGTGATGATGGTTGGAAATATTTGCCAGGATCCACCTGGATGAACTGAAGTGTTGCTAAGCGACTGGAACCCGGGCTTGTTAAAACTGTTATTTGATTGCTCTTTTCTGCTAATGTGACGTTTCTGAGCGCGCGTGCTGTTTCCGAATGACCGCGAACGCACCGCAGCCACGGAGGACGTCACATTTCGCTCGCTCGCTCGGGAGACGCAACTTTCGAGCACTTTTCCGTGCAAGACAAACGGCTCGGGATAAATCAAAGTTGCTCTTTTCTCTGTGTCAGCTGCTAGGCAGTGGACTTGAATCCCGTGGCATTTGGGGGCGGGGCAAGGAGAGCGCAGCGTTTTGAAGAAGACCCGATCCCGGTGAGTGTTTTAATTGAATGTGTGTAATTAGCATTCTTATGTCACAATGTCTCACTCCATGTGCACCCCACCCCCCGCCCACCCCCGCCAGCCAGGAATGATGTCAAAACTGAGATTGAAATGAGTTGATGGTGAGACGTAACTGTCGGCACGAAAAAAGTGCACCGTTGGATCTCCACATGCACTCGGAGCAGGCGCACTAACATGCGAGGTAAGCTAACTCGCTCACAGAGAACGTACGTGCGAGTTGGACTGACACAAATATTTTTTTCTCCCTGGTCGATCATTGCGACTTTGTTTTGTTTCCGACGGACAGATTGAATCGTTGAGGGATTGAACCGGGCCTTCTGCTGCTTGGATGCCGCGTGGGACGTCAGCGAAGGACATTGGGATTTTCGCGGCCACCTGTTTTCCTGGAGGGTGGTAGGACAATCTAAATGATTTCCCTTGTTTTCGACTAGAAAAATCCATTAAAAAAAAAAAAAAAAATCTGAGACCACATGCGGTACACTCCAACATCCCAAGTTTCCCACTACACATCTGCATCACGCTATTTTTTCCCCCAGATTTTAGTGAATGTGCACATGCTAGGATACGCCAAACATTCTGGAACATGCGTATATTATAAGCAACTCAATTACCAAAAGTTAGAAAAAAAAAAAAAAAAAGTGTTGTCATGAATAAGGCATGAACAAAAAGGAGTAAATGTCGCCAATGAATTCCCGACTCACCAGAGAGGTATAGAGAGTGCACACCAGTCCCATGGCAAACACTGCTCCCCATAAGTCCAAACCTGTGACTGGAAGCAAATACATCAACACGATTACCGCCGCATCAACATATTCTGTCATCCACGGTGGGCATCGATTCATTTGACTGCAGATCATGAAATCATTTTGAGACAAACAAAGCAAATTTTTCTTCCTGGTAAATCAGACCAGTCGCGATATGGCCATTTCATTTTTTTTTTTTCCCCCGGAGGAGAAATTAAAACCTGCGTCACGCGGGCCGTTTGAAAACTTTGTCCAAATGGGCCGTCTGGTTATTCAGAACGCCCCCCCCCCCCAAAAAAAAAAAACAGAGCTAGTGGAGGCCATACAAGGAAAATAAACAGCTGCGTTCATTCAGCAATTGTTGTGAGTCAAGTACATCCTGGTCAAGGACGGCAAAACGCTGGCTTAATAACGACGTTCAAGTTTTTCTTTTTAGCTCCAAACGACTTACCCTACCCAGAATCCCGTGAGGCATCGTCACGAAAGGTACAACGACCCCGATGGATGAATGCGCCTAACGCGTCATTCTACGTGATTGTGGTCAAATCGATTGACATTTTCGTAATCCATTCATAATTGTCGTGATTTGATTTTTTTGCCCCGCCCCCCTCCCAATTGCAATTCACCTCATCTCGTCAAAACGAGAAAGGAAAAGGTTTGGCGACTCTTACCTGCATTCAGTGCCAACGCTGGAGCATAAAGGACCACGCCCATATAAATGACCTACAGATGCAGGGCAACCGTGTTAGCGGCGCATCAAGCCAAATTCAACCGCGTAGCTTCACTTGAGAGACCGTATCGGTCCGACGTTAAAGATACCATCTGGAAGATGAAGGTCACAGTCCCACATATGCGGACGGTCTTGTTAAAGCGCAGCTCCAGATACTGTCAAGAGCAAGAAAGAGAAAATGGTCACAAAAACAAAACAAAAGAAAGAATGCCTATTCCACGTAATCTCAGAGTCGTGGAGTGTTTGGTCACAGCACACGGCCGGCGACAAAATAACTGATAAGTGTCCTTGAATTTGGGGGGGGGGGGGGGAATAAATCAAATTCAGCATTGCTGATTGTTAATGTCAAGGAGAAGACCGCTGAGAGGACAGCTAAAATAAGGCCGACCTCTGAGATTATCATGAGAAGAGAGAAAAAAAAAAAAAAAGCACAACAGAAAGGGGAGAAGACGAGATGACATTAGCACATGATATCAACTGCTCATGCCGCGTGGATTCGACTTATTTTCCTCCCTGCAAAAAGCGTTCCACACTACTTGGTGCCCTACCCGGAACATTCCATTTGGTCGAGAAAAAAAAAAAATCACATTCATCTGAAATGGCTGATAAAAGAAAAGGTGACATTGTTGTTTTCAAAATATTGTGCAAAACAAACCAAAAAAAAAAAAAGCATCCTACTTCCATTGGATGCTACTTGAGTTTCTCAACTGTATTTCTTCACTTCTTTTACTTTGCGAGCACAAAGAGATGGTTGTGTTTGGAGCCCCGCATACCTCGTACGCGCTGGAAAGGCGCAGCCTGTAGAAGACCGGTATAAAGACGTGAGCTGGGATGAGAAGGCCCAAGAAGTAGGAGCAGCCCAGGAACCAGTACTGCGTCCCGAACGTGTAGATTTCGGACGGCGCGCCCAGAATGGCCACGGCCGACTGGAACGTGGCGAGCAGCGACAGAGACACGGGAAGCCAGCTCATGGAGCGGTCGGCCATCAGGAACTCCTGGAAGGGAAAGCGAGTCTTTGGAAGCGGGGCTCGGTCAAGGCTGCGGTTTTGCTCCGCTTCCAAAAAAGGCGTAATACAAGCCGATTCCAGCCGAGGCCACCAACAGCAACGCGAAGATGACGTAGTCCACCGTGGTGAAGTGCATCTGGACCACCGCCCCCATCTTGGCTCTGAAGGTAGGCTTAATTTGGTGAGGCTGAGAACAGGAGGTCGTTGAAGAGGCCGCCGGGGGGGGGGGGGGGGGGGGGGGGGGGGGGCGATCACAATGTTAAAGCCGCTACGTCGCCCATTGTGGTCGCCGCAGAGCTGGAGGGCAAAGAAGCAACGCAACAAATGGATGAGTGGTGTGTGCAGAGGGTGGTTCCAGTGCCCCAAACATTAAAAAAAAAAAAAAAAAAGTCAAACGGCATATGTAAAATAACAGGCTCATTCGACAAACACTCCAACGCGCGCGCAGTGGCAGTTTCCACAGAAAAACCAAGCGCCAAATAAATTAAGACGTCAGCGACTCGTCAACTCTGAAATGAATTGTGGACGATTTAGATCGTCGACTGTCGTCGTGACGAGACGACTAATCCTGGCAGCCTTCGTTACCTACCGGTCACGGTTGAAGGACAGTTGGGGGAAATACGAATGTCGCAATATCACGTACCTTGCCTCTCAAGTAATATATGATGATGCTGCCGCAGCAAGATTCCGGAATTGATTGTTTTCGAATGAATATCATAACAATAATCGTGTAGCGGTAAGCGAAAGAGAACGCTCGCACTGTAAATGGAAGCTGCCCCTTTGTCGCGACCTTTCTTCACCCTTACGCTGAACGGCAAAATATTATAACACAGCAGGAAACTTGAATTCAACACCCGTGCGATCTTGCTAAACAAACACAACCCGCTTGTGCTTTTGTAAAAGCAAAAAAAAAAAAAAAAAAAGATTTCCTACTGTGGAGCTGCAAGACGGAAAATTACTTTCGTAGAATCATGGGGAGCGAGCCCCAAATATGATCATTTGCACTGTCCTCACACGGTCGACTCGAACTCCCCATCGCTGTTGGTATACTACACGCACAGGCAGGGGCGGGAATCGACGGGACATCAACCCTGGGGGTCATCCACAGCACCGAATCTTTTCATACATTTTGGCTTTTATGTCGGTGAGAGTTCAACTCAGGAATGGGTTCCCGTTTTTCCTGTTGGATAAGGACACAGGTCGGTCGCGCTGCCTACGAGCGCCGACACAAGCGACCGCGGTCTTTGGAAATGGGGCCCACTTCTGTTACTTTCTCTCCGTGCGTGACACAAAGTGCCAATAATTCAAACAAACCAAGTTGAACGCCGGACAAAGCCATCATCGCATCCGACACTCGCAGCTCATGTTTCCGTCAGCTGCCATCAAAGGTGGGCAAAATGCAGCCGTTCGCAATGATAAGATAAGATAAGATAACCTTTATTAAGCGTCACTTAAACCGCACGTACAAACTTTATGGCACGATAGGAGGATAATGACTGAGACGTGATCAGTTGGCATTTATGACCCCTGTTGAGGAAAATAATCCCCGGTGGGGCCTTGTCACTTATCATGATGACAGAGGCGAGGTGATCTTTCCAACGAGCAGATAGCAAAGAGGTCAGGCTCGTGGCTCATTAACTTTCACCTCAGAAAGGATTAGAGAATCTGCTGACTGAATTTCAAAATCCCCGTTCACGAGCGTCTCCGTCGAACTTGCTCTCCTGCTAAGATGCATGCATTTTTCTCTTTGCCGTCAAAACTGTTCCCAGGTGCCTCGATAGCACGTCATGCTTTTCAGAATAAGGATCACGAATGACGGGACAACTGACACCCCACTTGTTGCATTGCACAAGTTGGCCCGTTTTGAGCACGAGGTCCCGTCTCATGCCTGTGAGCTGCTCCCTCGGCTTTGATTACCATGACAACCAAAGTTAGAGCAAGGGTGTTGCTACGAGGCGAGCGTGCCAGACGTATCTTGTCGTGTGAAAAAAGAAGGTAGGCAAGCACCCATACCGAATTTCACTTGGGCGTGAGCGCTTCCTTGCCGATCCGCAAAACTCGACCTCTCGATCGGTGCATGTGGCGCACGCAGAACAAATACAAATAGCCGTCGTCCCCACGTCGACGTCGTTTCCAAACCTTCAAGAAGATGGCGGTTATCAGAACCCGACGCCGACGTATTACCCCGTTCGACGAGCGTGCTTTCGGACACTAGGGCTGTATCACATTGGAAAAACAGATGACATTCGATATAGGAGTCGAGTACAGCAAGATCGATATTATTGGGATATTTAATTTGAACTTAAAGAAATGATACTTTTATCTAATGATACCTTTGTTTCCCATGCAGGTAAATAAGCAACCTCAGTGGATTCTTAGCAAATTCATTGTGCCACTCGACGCTGTTCTCTTATTGGATGGCAGTGATTTTTGTTTTTCTTCCCCCATGCATTGTGCAGCCCGACAGGCCGTTGCTTGAAAATGGCAGATCTTCACCCACCGTAGTTCCCAAGTCGTGGACGGAGAAACTTGGGCACTCTGGTGACCGAAGTCCATGTTGACAAGCAATTACAAATTATTTGAGGCCCCCCATAAAACGGCCCCTTTAAATCTCCTTATCTGGACTGAAAACAACGAGGACCAAGAACCACGGTCCACTGTCATTTCGCACGTGCTTATTTATTCAAGCTGCAATTAAGCAAGACCGGACGGATGTCCAGTGAGTATTTCTTCATACATAACATAAAAAAAGAGAGAGACACGACATCGTAACAAGTCCAACGACAAAGGGGCTATATGGAGCGTGTCCATCTTTCCGCAGGTGCTAATCGCGTCGACAAAGGTGGTGGCAAGCTGGCCAAGGACGTTCTTTCCATGCGACAATAAGTAAGTCAACTACATGACCGAAAGGACTGTGAAAATTCACTTCTCTTATATGATTCTGTTATTTTATGTTAACTGTTCTGTATCGCACTTTGTTGCCGCCGCAGCTGTTGTGAAAGCGCTCTAGAAATAGAGGTACAGTGTTGCATCGTATTGTGTCGGACGTCGCGGGCTTCAGTGATGCGGTTCGCCTTGACTTGCCCAACTGGCACTGTAGAGTTTGGACTTCCGCTTCGCCATAAACACGACTGCTCACGTTGCTACTGACACCAATCGCGTGTCTCGTTGTATGCCGAGTGGCCAAAGACGGATGCGACCATTGGCTAATTAATCTGCACGCGCTCGCCTTGCCGTTCGTTTCAGATCCAGTATAACAATGTAACGAACGTGATAGTCACATACTTTTTTTTTCTCCGCGGACTGCGCGAATTTAATCTGACTAGTGGTGGACGGGGCAAATGGAATGGACAGTAAATAAACAGCGATCATAAAACCAATTTTTGACAGCGCGACAACGTGGTGCTGTCGCCCACTTCAAACCTTGCTAAGCCGCAGCGCGCGGTACGACGCGAGTTAAAGCCCCGGTCTTTAATGTCGGCCAAATTTCAATTCAAGGACTTCAACGACACAATTGAGCAGCGTGACTTTCTTACCTTTCTCGAGCTGGTAAAATAAAGTACTACGTCAAGGTCTGGTCCGGTAGGTTAGTGCGGTCGTACGTTATTGGACCGCCCATTCTGGTTGACGCGCAAGATGTTGCGTTCGCGTACACTAGGTATTCCGCGCGTTTAACGCCAATAAAATGATCCGCGGGTCGTTTGAGCCCAGCTGACCGGGTCTTGTCAGTACTCCGTCGTGTTTGTCATGAATCGTCATACGTGCCAGGTTGGCGAAATATGACAATACTGCACCGTACTAGGTTAAGAATGAGATGAATTTGCTTCTTTGGAAAGCGTTTCCAGGTCCAAAGGCCGTGTACTAACACGTCCGTCGTCATTGCGGGCTATGTATTTACGGTGCAATAATGTCGTGACCACGGCGGAGGCACCATCGGACACGCTGTCTGTTAAAACACGATGACCTTACTCACGACTCACCTTTTCCTCTCACCTGAACATCAATTTATTCTCGTTTTGACCGCAGCTTCTTTTTTTTTCTCCCCTCACACCAGTGAACGGCGCGCATTCTCCGGGAGCTGCACGGGTTGCCACATCGCGGTCCCTCAAGCTGATGACGCAAAGTTCGCCCGTCTTCTGCGACACCGGTTACTGTACATCTGGGGTAAATCATTACCACGACTTCGCCTTCCTTAATGGCTACTCAGAAGCCGATCGTATCAATCCGTATTGTACAATTTATTACAGACGTCATCTTCGCTGTTTCAAAACAACACTTCATTGTGACAATCATCATGAAATTAGTCTCGCTGTTTAGGAAGGGGCTGCGGATTGGCCTCAGCCCTTGCCTGAATGAAAACCAACACATCGCTCTGCCCCAAGCGTTGCACGTTTAACATACTATACAGTACAATATTTTACAAGTCAACAGATGAGTAGCACTTCCAAAGAGAACAGCGCCGACTAGTGGCACATCATTTCAAAGACGACACATCAAACTCATCCAATGAGAACGAGGTGAACATTTGGATTTGTGCACAACAATAAGCAATCCTCCTTTAGGGTGCTGTTCAATGTCCGTCGTGTGTATTTTTCCTCAGTTCAGTTGCCTGATGATGGCGTTTATGTCTGTGCCGCGAAATCCGGTTTTCCCGAGGTCCTTGAGGAGGCCAGTCTTGTCCTTGGCGGCGTGACGGGCCACCGACAGCTTGAAAGGCATCAGGAAGTTGTTGGCTTCCCGGAAGGCCTTGCCGACCGAGTAAAGCTCGTGAATCAAGTCCTCCAAACAGATAATGCCATGTTTCCCTAAAATGACATCGAGGGAGAGGGCAGTCAGTTGATGTCTGCACCGTTGGGATGGACAGGCGCCCTAAATTCCTTAGTTTTTGTTTGAATTACTTCAATATAATTTCTACACCACCGTTTGATTATTTTCAGAATTGATGACTGAGGTGCAGTGAAAAACATACCCATGCGTTCTTCGATGAAGGTGTTATCTGTTAAAGGAACCGCTTTCTTGCCCACTTTAGTCTGCCCCCTCTTCAGAATGAGCTCACGCACAGACTTCAAGTTTGGATATCTAGTTGGTAAAATAATACAACTTTATAAAGCCCATTTCACCGCAACTGGAACAAAGCACTTGACATAGGAAAATAATAATAATACAAAAAGAAAAAAGTACATGAAATCAAATTAATGATATGAACAATATACAAGTGACACCAGCAGAAAACAACAGTGCCAGTCTCATGTGGAGTCGAAAGGCAAAGGACGAAGATGTGTCCTCAAACGAGTTAAAAATGGACAGAGACAACAGCACTGATTTTCCAGTCCAATTTAAAAACCAAATTCCAGACTTGAAATTTCAGAAATTGAGTGACATCCACACTTGGATTTCCCCCGGACAGGACAAAAGTGGCCTTTAGGAGAAGACATCCGTTTTGCATTGATTTATTCACACTCACCCCCAGGCCACATAGGGCTCAACAATCTTCAGCATGGCGAGAGAGGTTTTGCCGATTCTGACAAAGGTTCCACTGAAGATTTTTCTCAGTCTCAACATCTGGACAACCTTCATCACTTGGGGACTGACACCTTTAATGCTAATGAGAGCATATGTCAGTGACAATTCGCGGTGTGTGTCACAGTAGAAAACGGTGCGGCATCATTTAAAACCTCTCCTAAGGCTGTCTGAAGTTTTGAATGGGAATACTCACTCCCGAATGCGGATGGCAAAAGCTAATTTATACTTGGCAGGAGGCAGCGGGGCGGGCGGCCTCTCTGTTAATCGACGTATGCGAGTATCATCGCGATGTTTCTTATGGCTGTCCTTCAAAAAGTCTTCCAAGCGCTTGAACTTTATCGGCGCACCTTTACAAACCTGAAACAATATAAAAAGAGAAACCGTTAGTCTGCGCTGACGTTGCAGCCTACCAGGAGGTCAACAGCGAGGCTCTGCCCGCTGGTTTCGAGGAGAAGTTGAAGATCATTTGATGGATCAGGGGTGGCTCACCTTTCTCTTTTCAAGAAGTGCAAGCTTGGCTTGTGTGGCTTTTATGGCCTGGTACGCTTTCCTCTTTTTCAAGAGATACTCTGGGACCAACTTGATGACTTTATTTGATCTGAGAGAAGACAGAGGAAAAGAGAGAGACCGAGAAATAAGTGCTTCACTTACATTCTCAAACTATCTGGCTAGCATCTGCCAACTTATTTCCAAAAGTGTCAACTGAGAAATCGAAATTTGATTGCGAGTACAGTACTGTCGTATCAATGGAGGTTTACGGTGTTTGGCTGCCAGAGTAGCTCAACTCTTATCACCCGTGTATTTACCGCTAACGACTACGTTTTAAATCGTATAAATTTAATATTTATTCAATAAAACGTGTTAAACGTGACTGTACATTGCACACCCTGACATTTGGTCTGAAATTTGAATATGTCCGAGCCTCGACACAGTAGAGCCATGTGAAATGTAATCAAGTCAAAACTTGATTTCTCACTAAGCTGTGTTGAAAATAAAAACGAGAACCTTCGCAAAGAAACATTATTCATCAAAGAAAGTCGAACCAACAATGTGGCATTAACAATCAGAGACCGATGGACGATGATGTAAATAAACTCAATACATACTCGGATTCGGCCATGATCGAACGTTTACGTGCCACTCTTCTTCGACGTCGTCATCACGTTTGGCCAGGTCGCAGGGCAGGAGAGGCATTGTCGCCATCTAGAGTATGGAAGTAGAATACGTTGAAAACTGTTCACATGGAACGCATGAGGGCGTGCTGGAGTATAAATAATACATTTGTTGGTTTGTTATCTCTGAGTTGTAAATTTGACATGTTCAATAGAGCTTCTTAAAAAAAACACCGAGCTGTGATGAGAGCCGGAGAGAAATGATAGCTTCATTCAAACAAATCGTTATCTATGAAATGACCCGAATCAGTATGTATTTCTGATGATTATGTGCCATTTAAAGACTTGTCGTCCTCATCACTAGGGGGCACCCTAAGCGCATTCAATTCTGAGATTGCGAGTGTTTCGAGAGGCGCAGCCGCGTGGAGGCTGACCATAGGATCTCTCCTTGCAGTCTGATACGCCAATCGTACTGTCATTCAATATAAATGACACATTCGGGTGCAATTGGTAAAATAGATAATGTCGACATGGAAAATGCACTCAACGGACCCCGAGTTGAAATAAAACAAATTAACATCAGAAACGTTTGAGCGTTAATTTACATCCCATTTTACAACGCATACTGGCATGAATTAGGTGATCATAGCAGCAATCTCGACACTTTGACGTAAATCTCGTGCTATACAGCCGTTCTGATAACTATCGAAATACTACTAAAATCGATATAAGAGTAAAACAAATAAATACACGCACATTCACGTATTCATCAAAATATTGCGTAGCGATCAGTAGTCCATGTATGTTGATGTTTTTGCGTCAAACTATTTTTTTCCCTATGGTCATTGAAAGCAACAGTAGTTTCATTGTGGCCCTGCAGAGCTAACGCCATCACACGCAGTGACGACGACAAGGCGAGCTTGCAAATTGATGGCCGCAACAACAGCAGCGTTTATTTGCACTTATCGGATCTCCCCAGAACGCCAATGGAATAATAGCGCCCCGGATTTTTAAGTGCACTTTAAACGGGTAAGATTCATCGTTTTATTTATTCCACCTCGTAGTCGGCGACTCTTGAACGAAGCGAATGAATTACTAACTGTCTAGTTTTGAATTTTTGTTCAAATTCTCAGCTCTATCTCTGACTAGCTATTGCTGTACTGCAATAATGTTCTTTTTTTGGTGGTTCTTTAAAATGCGACATTCCATGCGTGATAGAGTGATAAATACAGAGCTGTTTGGTCGTTGAAAGTGGGATGAAGCTACCGCAAAGGAAGTTAATTAGTCGTGTCGATTAAACGATGACATTTGCCTCAAAATGATCAGCATGCTGTTTTCACAATCGGCTCTGCAACGCATTTCGCTTGTGAGGCTTCTTATTTTTGACGCTGGGCTGCGTTGTTTACCATGTTTGCCACCTTCAAAAGCCTTCTTCAGCACCATCAGCATCCCCTATTGATGCTTGGTGGAGTCATATGAAGGACACAACCTCGCTTGCATCCACCCCACTCTTGTGGGATGCTTTCCAGTGCTGCCGAATGCAGGCAAGGGAGGAAAACGAGGTGAAGTTTTGATGCAAGTGAATGTCTTGTTGCACGAAGTCGTGTGTTGTTTGCTTTGGGAAGGTGATGCAGCATATCGCTTTGAAGGCTTACCGTGGAACTTCTCAAGTTGAACAATCAGGAACATACGCCGTCTTCAGTCGGGATGGGCTTGATCATCGTTTATTGATTGCCGCATGTTGAATTAGAGTTGCACTTGATTGAGCTCATTTTGGCTAACTTCCGGATAGCGTGAAACTGTGGTCTCCTGAGATGCTTTGGTTCAGTGGGTCCGTGCAAACTGATAAATGAGTGCCCCCCCCCCCAGCCTCCATCTTTATGTGTGGGGTCTGCCAAAGATTAAAAACAATCTCTCAAGATTCAAAAAAATCTTTACGTGTGTACCCATCCTGAGGTTTATGAGCTCATTTTGGCTAACTTCCGGATAGCGTGAAGCTGTGGTCTGCTGAGATGGTTTGGTTAAGTGGGTCCGTGCAAACTGATAAATGAGTGCCCCCCCAGCCTCCATCTTTATGCGTGGGGTCTGCCAAAGATTAAAAAAAATATCTCTCAAGATTCAGAAAAATCTTTACGTGTGTACCCATCCTGAGGTTTATGATCTCTCAAGTCATTTGGCCACCAGCGCCAAAAGCTGCTGGCAAGTCTAACGCTGTAATCCTCAATGTTCTTCGACTTTATGGAGCAACTAATCCATGTTACTCAAGACTTCAAATTTCTCCCAAAAGTCCTAATCCTAAATAACAGGAGACGGTTGACATCAGAGCGTAGTAAATTGTCAAGGATGGTCTTCTTTTTAAAATTTGCTCGGCAATTCAGCATATCATCCATTAGACTTGTTTAAAACAGTCAGGGACACGCGATCAGCAAACGCACCCGCCATCGCTTTTCCGGTTTGTGCCAAACTTCCACGTGTCCAGGGAGTCATTCCTCCACATCTGCGATCGTCCTGATAACCCCGCTCCCCGACGCAGGCGACGCCAGCGTCTGGCCCAACAAATAATTGGGGCCATCTTCAGTAGCAGAGCTAGAACCAATTTGGGCAGTGGAAAAAGAAAGAACTGGCTCAAACCTGGGCGCTAGCTCGGCGGAAAAGAGCCATGAGAGCACAGACCGCTGTCCATCGTTCTTGACTTTTATTTCTTACTTGTCGACTGCCTCCGCTGAGCGCACGTCACTGGTTGATTTTAGCCAAAGAATATGCCATGGAACGTGGCTTTTTCTCGAAAGCGTTTGAGTGATTTCAAAACAGCGGTACCAAGACTGAGTACCAGGACAATTCAATAAAATAATGATGCTGTCGTGATCAGAAATAAAGAAAACGAACGTGTTTCGTCTTCAAAGGACTTTTCTATCCGTCGGATTTCAGTTCTCTGACTCGAGTCAAGTCTGCAATATGAGACAAGGCCAATGAGTCAGGGCTTGATAGCATCACATCGGCAGGTCAGGCGGTCGAAATTTTCAAACGGGGAACACAGTGAGCCGCTGCGTTCGGCACCGCGCGTCCCGCCGCATCTTCCGGAGGTCAGAGACAAATCCCAACAATGTTACTCCGCCACTGAATAAGATCTCGCCAATCTCTCTTTTTTTTGTGTAACTGTTCTGGAAAGCGCTTTGTTGTTTTTGAAAGCGCTGTAGAACTCAAAAGGTTTTGTCCTGTTTTGTTTCTTCACCAGAATTCAATTAGCGAGAGTCGTTCGCCAGGCGGCAAAGCACCGGCGGATCAGGCAGATGGTATCGCGCCGATCGAGTCACGAGCACTCCCCGATGGGCCCGCGTGCTTCCGCTTGCCACCGCTGCCTCAAAATGTGCAAAGTCTGTCATTTGCTGGTTGAAATGAACTTGCGGTTTCATTTCCTCTGACAAGAATCGCATTTACATCTGGAGCGCAGGCCAAGTATGGCGCTGCTGCGGCTTTCTCTCTTCGGTCCCGCTCGAGGGTTTCCATTTTTAATCTCCCTCATTTTCTTGACTTTTCCCTTCTTTTTTTTTAATCTTTCAATGCCATTCTGCTCTTAAGTCCTTTTTTTCCCCCCGAGTGAAGGGGCTTCACAGTGCTCTGGTCTGTATTGAAATTCTCCAACATTGAATGAATTGAAATCTTTGATGGTGTGAACCACGCCCCCAAACCCTCCCCCCCCCCCCCCCCCCCCCGAGATGGAAAGTTGAGACGGCAGCTTTGAAAAAAAAGAAATGGCGGAACCCACACAATGTGCTCTGCGGGGTCAGAAAGCTTGTTTGCAGGTGATGGAGATCCTCCAACAGGGTCAAAGGCGTCCTTTCCCAATTGTACAATTTGGAGCGCCTCATCGCGCTGCCTCTTGAGTTTGCCGCACACAAGTAACAATGAAGCGGGCGCACGCTCGTCGGATCGCAGACCGGCGGCGATGCGTATTTGGAGGCGGAAACAAAAGCGCTTTCTGTTTCGATCGAAATGCCGGCGTGGTTTTCAAACAGAAATAACCTGTTGTGAAGCGTCCGCCTTTTTGCTGGCGTCACGCCGCGCGACAAAGGCCGTGGATTTTTCGTCCACAGAAGCCCCTTTGTGTTCATGAGCGGCGTCAATCTGCATCGCAAAGAAGCCGCCGTCTTCTTCGGTTTCGGTGAATTTGAATGCGGACGCAAGTTGCCGCGGCTTTGGCTTCGTGCATACGGCCCACGGGAAGCGGGCTTGTTTACGGATGTCGAGGTATTTTCCCGGGCGTCGCTTCGCATGTTGAACTTCCTGTCAGACGCGACGTTCGGGGCGATTTCCATGACGGGCATTTTCCACCGCGGTGCGCCGCCCCTTCGACTTTGCCGCCCGCCCTTTGCGTTGGCCCTCGCGCTGCGCTCGAATCTGCCGCGTCGCTTCCCTGCGTTGCCCACGCCATCTGTGAGATGCCGACAGAAGAGACGCAGTTGATGTTTTTGTTGTCGGGCAACTGTAGCTCTACGCCGGCTGTATCAAAGCGACGCTCCCTACTTGCTTCCCACTGCGCCCGAGTGACGCTTGGTAGGGATGCCGCCGCCGTCGCCGAGCCGCAGTCGCAGAACGCTTGAGTCTGCCGCGCCTCGGCCGCTCATGCGGCTGAGTGGCTTCCCCCCGAAGCCCGAGCGCCATTCGATTTTATTCGCCGGGGCGCCGATGAAAGGCTTCATCCGCCCCTACCGGGGCCTTCTCCCCAAACTCCGAGCCCACCCCTGTGCCACGCTCTCGCCGTTCCTGCCTTGGCCCAGCAAGAGAGATCAGTGGAGAGGAAGTCAGAGTGCAGGCGGCCCCACGAGTGGCGGCCAAACGGCAATTTTATGCCGCTGGGGAGGACGCAAATCACATGTTTCGCTCACACTGAGGGCGGCGCCAGTATTTTGGGACACCAGCATACCAACCTGGGGAAAAAAAAAAGCTGGAAAGCGGTTTTCTTTCATTCTTTCTTTCTTTCTTTCTTCTGAGCACAAGAACACCCCCATTGCTGTCCAACGGGGCGCCGCGTTCACACGCCCTGTAAAGCAGGAGGCAGAGAAAATCCCTTTTCAGGTTCAGCGTTTCATCTGACGCTTCCCATTTGAAATTCTATCAGAGAAAAGTAAGGCAAAGTTTTCCCGTTGTTGGCAGAATGTTGTTGGCGAATCAATGGAAGCTTTGCGTTGAGGCTCCGTCGCAAGGTCAGTTCGGGACTTGAGCAAATCGAGCAAAGGCGCGTTTGGATGTATTTTTTTTTTTTGCCGATGGGTGGCAGGAGTCAATGGCGGCGGTTTGCCGGATAGAATTGTCACCGCCGTCTTTGAAGATGGGAAAATTGCTTCAAGATTCGGAGCTGTTCCTCAATACTTGGTCACATCGCAAGGAACCGCCAATGTGATGCGCGCCACTCTACAGTTTTGTTTTGTCACGGGGTACAACTAACAATCTTTTTTTTTTTCCCCCTCGTTCGTGAACTTGGGTTGTTTTTTTTATTTTTTTAACAGGAGCAATGGCGTATAAACACAAATGCCCCCACACGGCAAGAGATTCTGAGTTGAAATGCTCCCCTTCAATCCCCCGACCGTGCGCGAGCTGACCTTCAAGTCGCTCAACTTCTTCCATCTTTCATCCGCAGTGCAGCAGTGAGGTCAGCCCAGAAACTGCAGCAGAGGTAACTTGGAGGTCAGTCAGGACAAGATGCGAAATCGCCGCCTCCGCTGCCGTCGTCCCAGCTGACTTGCAAAAAAACGCTGCAGGTCAAAGGTCAAAGGTTGGGCTTATTAGTTCCCAATGGATGCACTTTGCTTTCCATTCTCCGAGTGGCGCCGTTCACATTTTAGTCCTTGTAAAAGCCGAACAAATGTCGCGTCGTCCCGACGGAACGTGATTGCACTTGTCAAAGAGTTCTGGGCGAGAGAATCCCGCGCGCGATTGGCCGCTCAATAACGTCGGCGCCATCGACGTCAAGTGTGCCGCGCCTTCGTTAGTGTACCGATAAGAGTCGACTTGAGGCCACCGCCTGAGAAGAAAACAAGCACGCATGTTTTTAGTGGTCTGCGAAATCCAACCGGCACAACTGCGACCGTGTGTGTGTGGCCTTAAATTCTGTGGTGACCACCCAGCCAGCCAGCCCGGCTCTTCTCTTTTGACAGTTTGACTGTGGACGAGGCTGCCGCCGCCGCCGCACCCCGCTGCAGCAGCACAAAACGTTGGGTTCCTACTCGACCGGCCACACAGAATTTCAAAGCGCCATTTCACTTGGCTCGGGTCGGGGGAATATTTGTGGGGGGCGGCGGTTTGGATGGGACGATAATACGGATCCCGCGGAAAAAAATCTCCGAGGTGGAACGGCCCGTAAATTCTCAATCTAGATGGGCGAGCAGCTTGCGCAGTGATGTGGAATGCGCACCAAGCGCGGAGGGATTTGGAGGAAATCCTCACGGCTCGGCGTTTCTCTCGCCGTCGGCTAACCGATGTGAGGTGTCCGTTGCGCGTCAAGTGAGGCGCTTCGTCAGTTTAACTTGAGGGCATCGGGAGGTCGTCTTTTCGGCGTGACACGTCGTCGCTCACCGACAGGTTGATGTCAACTTGACACCCACCGGGGGAGACTTTTCACCACATCCTGTGAGCGCTCCCATTCGAAGCGTGCGAGTGCGTTGCACTTTCTTCTGCACTTTTCTCTGCAGAGGCGCATCGCCCGCAAATGCAACGTGGTGGCTCCCGGGTTCTATTGGCTTTCGGTCTTGCCTGATGGGTTTCACCTCCGATGAAAGGTTTGCAGTGTCGAAGGCGTTACCCGGTAGGCGGCCGTCCGCACCTCGGCAGCCCTTTACCGTCAAGTGGAGGGCCTTCCGATTCCTCCTTTCCTTCATTCACGCTGCTCCTAATTTATTCCCCCAAAATACTCAAGAAAAAAGAAAAATGCTCCATTTTTCGGCTCAACACCTTCAACAGAAAGCTGATGACATCAAGTCGACAATACAAACCGGATACAATAGCTCGCTTACCTGATTTTTTTCAAAAAGTTTGAAAGTGGCCCTTTCATCCTTCCTTCTTTTGAACAGTTTGGGACCCCCCCCCCCCAAAAAAAATTTTTTTAAACACGTTGGCCCCCCCCCCCCCCCCCGATGGCCTAGAAGGTTGCAAACATGTCAGCCAGAGGCACAAAATTGAGTGAGCTGCTTGACGTGAGCGCCGCAGATGTGCGCCGACAGCTGACCTTGTGTTAAGAATGCAGCCGTGGCCAAGACACGACCTGACAACCGCAGCGCCGCCCCCCCCACCCCGCCCCCCCGATTGCATTAACAACAATGTCCAAAAGCGTCATTTCCGCCGGCATCAGGCCGAAACCTTCCATGTCACAATTTGCTTGGTTGCATTTTTATTTTTTCTCACACCGATCTGCACTCTCGCTCGGTCCGCTCGTGTGGGTGTTATCACATCGGCGTTCCATCAGTGCTGCTAATTTGTGTCCGCCGCTGACATTGAGCCATCGTGACACAATGGTGTCACGCAAGGTCCCGCCCAGCTCCACTTTGACTGACTGGAGGGGGGTCAGGCAGGACAAAGACCCGACCCGTATCTACCAGCCATTGGAATCCCGATGCACTTCCTTCCTTTGGGTCACCAATGAACACCCCAATGGCAATTTTCAGAAAGCGAACATCCAAGCTGAAGCAGAAGCTTTGTTTTTTTTTTTTTTTTAAACAATGAAATGGAAAAACTAGGCCTGCCGTTTGAGGCTCGATATGGAGACTGTCGACATGAGTTTGTCATCCATCCGTGCCTCCATTTTCTCGACCGCTTCTTCTAATTGGGGTCGCAGAAAACTGGAGCCCATCCCAGCTGACTTGAGGCGGGAGGCGCCCCCCGGACCGGTTGCCAGTCAATCACGGGGCACGTCTTCCGTCTTCTTTTCTCTCATTCGTCTTCACGGTTGATGCAAATGGCAGCTTTCTCTTCATGTCTGCAACTGGTAGAGTTCCAAATTATTACGCACGGCTCGGAGAAATCCTTGCCCTTGTTCTTTTCCAAAAAGCGGCTTCGCTCCACCTCCGCCGGTCGCAGATTTCGGCGCAAAGTCAAACCGGAGGCCAGTGTGAGCACTTCGTCGGGGTTACCGATGGAAGCGTTTGAGGCGCTCTGCAGCCTTTGGCCGAGCTTCGCAGCGCCGCCGCCGCTGCCGCCGCCGCGCCTGGCCCTCCGCCAGCCTCACATCCCGTCACAACAGATGACAGTGTCTGTCGAAAATGGCGTAGCGTGGGGATGCTTCTCGTGCCAGCCAGCCAGCCGCTTAGCTTCGCGCCAGTCGGCGACACGGCTCCCCCCAAGTTGATTGCAAACTCAAATGAAACAACTTCCACACTTACGAAAACGCGTTGGAGTAGGAATGTCCAAACAAAGGGAAAATTCTAGACGTTTTTTTTTTTTTTTGGATCACATGCAATCAAGGATGCTCTGGCTTTAGACTAATGTAAGAGAGCTCAGAGTGAGGGAACTGGCCAAAAGCAGTTTGCAAAGGCGTTTATGGAGTATTTTTGGGCAGCGGTCGGCCACCGTTCAGTACCCAAGCCAAGTCCGACAAACTGAGCTACTGCCAAGCCACGCAATTTCCTTCGGGCTCCTGCCTGCCGGCAGAGTCCACTCAAAATTTTTAAAGGAGACAAACAATGTAGCGTTTCAAAGGGTCTTCTTTTTACTGACATGACCCCCCCTCCCCCCACCCCCACCACGATACACCTGCACTTGCTGCGACAACCTCTGATTGTGCTGACAGGCATTCCAGGAAGTGTCGGTTCCGGCGGCCGTTCTGATAAATCAATCCGCAATTGGATGTAAAGCGAGGCCGCCGCTTCCAGCGCGTGCCGCTCGGTTAAACCGTGATTCAAAATGGCATTTTTGGATATGTACTTTTTTTTTTTTTAAGTCCAGCAAAGTGTACATTTACTGTAAGCAGCTGAGACACATTCCTCCAATTTAATTTCAGAAACACAGCGTTGGATAAGACCGCAGGGAGTTGGTGCGCACACTGTTTGTGTGGTTCTGGCCCGGTATGCAAATGACAGTGTTTTCAGGCACTTTGACAAAAGCTGTCTGTCCCGACGCGAATCGTTTTGACATTGTTTACGTGGAATGCTACGACACTTTTTTTTTTTTTTTTAAATCATGAATCACTCTCAGTTTTTGAGAGAATTCTGTTCATTTCCAATGTCAAAGCCACATTAGGAGGGGGCGGACTCGGGTCGGTTGGAGTCGCGCGCATTTCCGCTACGTCTGATGAAGTCCGTTTGCTCGCAGCTCGCAGGTCTGTCTCCGTGTGGGCCCGTCCGAAATGGGCCGGGGCCCGGCACCCTTCCGCGAACCGCTGCTTGGGGACCACTACTCGAGCGTATCTCGTCTTCCTCTTTTTATGTATATTGCAATATAAATTGCCGTTGAATTATTGCGCAGCCCTACCTTTCGCCATATTTTATTTTTTGTATACCCATCGAGTTCTTCCCACTAAGCAGACGTAAAGGGCTGTTTTGAGGGTTATGAGAGGTACAGTCTATTTCGCCTTATTTGGACCAGTCGGTTACATGAAATCTACATTCAGACTTGCATATTCAACTTAAATCTATCTCTTCTTTTATTTATCATTTTATCTGTACTTTTATTGTTTGCTCTTGGTTGTAAAGTGTCCTTGAGTGCTGTGAAAGGCGCTTACAAATAAAATGTATTGTTATTATTATTATTATTATTATTACATTGTAGCATGTAACATCTGTCGCAAATGTGGTTTCAATCTTCATTTCATCCATCCATCACGGTTTTTGGTGAACGAATCTCTCTTTTTTTTTCTCTCTCTCTCTCAAGTCAAGCGCATTCCGCGAAACTAACTTGGAGTACCTGTCGCTGTTTCTCGTGTCCTCCCAGCTGATAGATAATGGGCTGTGTGCAATGCAAGGATAAAGAAGCAAGCAAACTGACGGACGACAGAGAGGCCGGCGTCTCCCAGTGCGCGGGCTACCGCTATGGGGCCGAGCCCACGCCGCAGCACTACCCGAGCTTCGGGGTCACCGCCATCCCCAACTACAACAACTTCCACACACCCGTCGGACAGGGCGTGACCGTTTTTGGCGGGGTCAGCACTTCCTCTCACACCGGAACCCTCAGGACCCGCGGCGGGACAGGTAGTGTGTCGAGCAAAACGGGAGCGCCGGAGATTGACTTTGGAAAGGCATACCGGGCATCCCCCCCCCCACAAGATAAAACGCTTGCTAGGTATCATTGGAAAACCTTGTACGTATGTAACTTGTATGTAGCTCACTGAGAGCCAGGCCAACACGCATAAAGACATCAATTAGTATTTCCCAGTTTCTCCATCGTCGTCGTGAAACCATGCACACCCTGCGACGCAATCGGGGTCTTTTCGGGGTTTCCCTCTCCCATTTTTGCCACTCTCATGAAAAAAAAAAAACCTTCCCATGAACGGCCCTATCCGTCCAAAGTTCTGATCCGTCGGAAAAACCCGTTGCTTTCTGGGAGCCTGGTTGGAGCGTCTGAAGTCAAATGACCGGGAGTGGGAGTGGTCCGATCAAAAGCCTCCCAAGAAGGCCCCACCCATTCAGCTTGCATTTGTCAAGCGCCGTGAAAACAGATGAAAGGCGGTGGCGAACGCAGGCCCCATCAAATACTTTGCAGTGCTGCTTTTGGCTCATCAAGGTCTTTTGATCTCAAAGACGAATGAATCCGTTTAACCTCGCTTCGAGTTGCCGCAAACAAGGGATTCATTCAAACGTTTTGGGAGCTTTTTGTTGTTGTCGTTGCTACTTTTGGAATTTAACGTCGTGGAACTTGAAAACAAAGCTCTCCGTCAGCGCAACAATGGGGCAGGGGACCCCGTCGGTGTTTCCATCGACACTCGATGCCAGAAGGCTTGTTCTCCGGACCGCTCCGACTCGAGTTTATTATTGATCGGCAATACGTCATCTTTTCAGGCTAGCAACACATCGTGTTTCGGTGTGGTTTATTTCTATTGTTTGTTGATCTATTGCTTTAGTTTTCTGCCGCATGTTCAGAATCAAGTTCCATCAAGGTTCTCTTTGATTTAGCCGCACCAACACCCGGTCGGGGGAGCTGCAGCCAATTTAGACGAAATTGCAAGCGCGGCTGCAACGAGTCGCCTCCTTTGCGGGGAACTCAACCGAGATCCTTCGCAGAAATTTGACAAAACCTGCTATGGCTCTGACGCTTTCCCCGTTGAGCTGAATAGTGGCGCTGTATGAACGTTCTCGCCATTTGTACGCTTCGGTTCATCGGCGAAATGCCCATTTGGATCCAAACGGCGACCCGAGTGGTCCTCTTTTAGTCCAAATGACAGGTCTTCGCGCAGCGAGATGTTGATGTTGCTTTTTCAAATTCTTTGTGCAGGAGTCACACTCTTTGTGGCACTTTACGACTACGAAGCGCGATCGGAAGATGACCTCAGTTTCAGAAAAGGAGAAAGGTTCCAGATTATCAACAGCACGTAAGTCAAATAGGAGCCGGAACCGAGCGACGGGGAGGAGGAGGAGAGGAGAGGAGAAAGCGCTTTGTATTTGTAGTTAGCGCCGCTAAAAGAGCTTCCATTATCGGCCGCGAACAAGAGCCGCTGTGTGTTCCGTCTTGGGAATTGCAACGTTTATCTGAGGCCCGCAAATCCTCTCAGTGAGCTCGGAGGTGATCTGAACAAGAAAATGACAGCAAAAAAATAGCAATGAGTAGAGTGAATTGAAGCTTTCGACGGGGTTGCGTCGCCTCTGACCCTGGGACAGGAAGCGCGCTGTTCACACCCACAAGCGTGTCATCTCGCTTCCCCTTTGAGATACATGGCCCACAAACACACCGTCAATTGGCACTGTAAACACCCAAATTTAAAACTCGCAACACAGAATCAAAGAAGCTCCAACACATTTTTTCCATCCGAGTACCAAACGATTCCAAGCAATCCTCGTCTCAGCATTTGGCCCAGCAAGCCCTCAGCAATCCCCTCCGCGGTGCTTGACGGGATTGCCGAGGGCCTCGTAAGCATCTTTTGACATACCTCGGCGAGCTTCTGTCGCTTTGCGGGGCTCAGACGGAGGAGGAAAGCGCTGTCATTAGGGCTCAAGATTGCATTTTTTTTTTCCTCTCGTCTTGCTCTTTAATGGAGCCCATAAAGAACTGCATCTCCTCTTCCATTTCTCTCTCCCCCAAGCAAGCTTCAAATCTTTTTTTTTTTTCTTAGCCACAGCGACCCCTTTTGGATAAACACTGAAAAAGCAGTCCCGCGCTTGCTATGATGAGGGTGTCTGTTGAGGCCGACGACCAGACATGCCATTTAACTCATTCACTGCCAGCCGCCATGTAAAAAAACAAACAACCCCCCCCCCCAAACACCTAAAAACACATAAAGATGCACCTGGGATTAAATGAACCAATTCTTAAAAAAAAAACAAAAAACGTCTTTGGCCTTGAATGAGTCATTTGTCGCCCTCTGCTACTGCGTCTTCACGATCCCTTTCATTTACTCATGCAGGCATACGTACCCAAGAACTACTTGGTGAGATTTGCCGCTACGTTTGGAAGCAGTCGGCTCTCACCCCTCAATAAAATGCGTTGCTCGACATCAAGCGCGCTCGCTCATCTTATTCTCGCAACTTGTGTCTTTTCCAGCGAAGGGGACTGGTGGGACGCTCGCTCCCTCACCACCGGCGGCAGCGGTTATATTCCCAGTAATTACGTGGCTCCGGTGGATTCCATCCAGGCTGAGGAGTGAGTCCACAAAAGACACTGTGTGTGTGTGTGTGTGTGTGTGTGTGTGTGTGTGTGTGTGCGTGTGTATGTGAGGCTCCAAGTGTTAAGCAGAGAAAAAAACAGCTGACACGACGATTCCTCAAATAATCCGCCCGTCCGTGAGCCCAACCGGATGTTGTGGCGTCGATTGATCATTTGTGCGTCATGGTTTCATTTTCATTTGGCCTTTTTCCAAATGTCTTACTTCACGTCAATGAGTTCCCGTCGAGGTGAGATTTCGGTACCGTCCAACGTCGTTACGACGTACCTCGAGGGACGTAAACCGATCTGTACGGTAATTGTCGATCCGTTTAGTTCTCGCCATGGTATCGATGAATGGCTTCTCTTTTTGTTTTCGTTTCTTTTTCGTCCGGGGGGGGGAAAAATATTGGTGACGAAATGAATGACCTTTTTTTTTTTTTTTTCCTCGACTAAACGAACACTGCTCTGATTCCAGTTGGTACTTTGGCAAACTGGGCCGAAAGGAGGCCGAGAGACAGTTGCTCTCCACCGGGAACCCGCGGGGCACCTACCTCATCCGGGAAAGTGAAACCACAAAGGGTACATTTGACGACAATATTGGCGATGAAGCGAGCGAGAAAAGAGCTTGCCGCGCAAAACCCCCCTCGTTGCTCCCCGCAGGTGCCTTTTCCTTGTCCATACGGGACTGGGACGACGTGAAAGGCGACCACGTCAAGCATTATAAGATCCGCAAACTGGACAGCGGCGGCTACTACATCACCACCAGGGCTCAGTTTGACTCGCTGCAGCAGCTGGTTCAGCACTATTCCGGTAAGGCGGCTCTCCTTCGTTCATGTGCCGCCGGATGACTTCTCACGCTTTTTCCGTCGTCAATATGTGGCCCGCCGTGGACCGGCGACCGGTCAGCCGGGATCGGTTAAAGCTGACCCGCGACACTAATCGGGATCTGTTTCGGTATTGCTTTTTGTTTCTTTGTTTTGTCATCCATTTTTCAGTGGCCCGTCGTTTGGCCACCCCTGACTTGGACGAACGCAGGTGACGGCACGCGAAGGCTCGGGCTTTTCTGGCTTCCTCTGCTTTCTTGCATTCTCAAACGGCTCATCAGATTTAAAACCGGCCCTGAATATGAACAAGAACAAAATATCCTCACAAGGGCATTGCATCAATGCATTTCAAACATCGCGGTCCTATTTATTTTTTTTTTTTCTTCCCCAGGTCATGTGAGCGTTGTGCCCCCCAGGGGGAGCCCCAGCGATTTGCTCGGTGACCGCGAATGTCTTCTTGCGCTGCGAGCGAGCCCGTAATGGAAAAGATGGCCTTTTGACGAAGAGCGATCGATTGAGCGGCGATCCGGTTGTTATCAATCCAGTCCATCTTTCCGAGCCGCTGCGTTTCTCGGAAAAACCTCCGCTTTGTTTCCTGTGGACGCGCTTCACATATTGGCGACTTTTATGACGCCAGCAGAGCAGCAAATGAGCAGGCGATCGGCCCCGGATGGGCTTGAAGCGCCCTCGTGGGTCTGACCCCGGCCGGCCTTTATCTCGTCTTAACCGCCCCGTGTAAACACCCCGGGGATTTAGCGCCGGTTACGAAGAAAAGTCTGCGCGTGGGGGGGGGCTTTTATCCCGTGTGAGTATAGGAGAGGGGGGTCTTTGCACTTATCGGCTGGCATAGACGGAAACACGGCCCTAATCTAGCGGTTCGATCGATAGCGAAGCAAACACGAGAGCTTCCTCTTGCCGTCAAAGCAGGACGTTTGATTTCATGAGACGGCGTCAGCGGCCAAAGTGACGGCGAGCGGCGCTAATCGAAATGGAAGCATCCGGTGAACCGCTCGGGCGCCGAACGCTCTCGCTTGCGGTGTTGCATAAAGCCCCCGTCCGTCTTCGTGTTTGACTCGGACTCCTGATCGGACGCCATATGTGCAATAGAGACAAAAGTATTGGGACGCCCCTTCCCATATTTGCTCTGCGGTAGAACCTGAGCTCCTTCCGCTTGGCATCCCGGGAGGGGGATTCTCCCATCTGCGGCCCCTTCTGGAGGTTTCTCATGTCTCCCCACACTGTCTGACTCCAAACAGACCTCGAAAGTGCCCGTCGAAAGCATTTGATTTTCAGCCGAGTGTGCACTCTGCTCCACGTTTGCGTGAACGGCAGTTGGCGTGAATTCCTTCTTCCTCCTGCGGCACTTTTGTCTCGTCAACTCTCTGTGCTTTTCTTTCTTCTCTATTTTTGGGCATCGCCGCGCGCGTGGCCCGGGCAGACCGAGCCGCCGGTCTCTGCTGTCGCTTGGTGGTTCCCTGCCACAAAGGGATGCCCCGCCTCGCCGACCTGTCGGTCAAAACCAAAGACGTGTGGGAGATCCCGCGCGAGTCGCTGCAGCTGATAAAGCGTCTCGGGAACGGGCAGTTTGGGGAAGTCTGGATGGGTACGGATCCAGTCGCCTCCGAAAGAAGGCCTTGCATGGAGGAGGCCGCGCTGGCCCCCGAAAGCCCGCCTGATCGTTTGCCCCGGGGGACCTCGAAGGGGGTGGGGGGGCTTCAGTGGGCTCATTTTCCTCTCGGGCATGTTGCGGGAAAACCCGTGTGATGGGTCCAAAGATGGCCTCCTCCATCCTCCTCCGACCGCATGCGCCTCTCCGCCGTCATTAACCCTGTCCGCCTTCCCTCCCTCCCCCTGTAGAGAGTGCGGACGGTTTGTGCTTGAACTTAACTGGCGTGTGTGTGAACTCCCTCCCCGACACCGTGGGCTTGAGTCATGACGCCTGGGAGATCGCGAGAGACACGCTTGAATTGGAGTTAAAGCTGGGCACGGGATGTTTTGCCGAGGTTTTTTACGGTAAGACTTCCCGCTCGATCCCCAGAACGTGACTTTCGCCATCCGTTCACTTGGACTTTGCAAAGGTTCCCTTTGAAGCCGTTTTTTTTTGTTCATGATTGAAGATGAAAGCTGTATGTAGGTTTGCGCCACAACCGAATAAACGTTGAATGCAAAAGAATAAACATTGAGAGTCAAGTCTTGGCGGAGGTCTTTTGAATGAAACACGTCGCGCTTTGTGCCATTGCGCAGCGCGTCCCTCCGCCCGTGCCGACAATGTGACCGTGAAGCTCATCCGTTGGCCTGTCGCGGAAACCGGACCGAGGGCGGAACCCGCGAAATGAGCTGTTAGCACGTTAGCGGCTATTCGCTCGAAGAATATTCCCCAGATGACGGCCGGTTTCTGAGATCCGAGTCCTTTAGCAAGCGGACGGCCCTCCTTCCGTCGATGGTCTCTGTCCTCCCTTTGACTCAACCCTCTCCATCCTCTCGCCGCATGAGATCAGCAGAACCATCGCCGCGGTCCAAACGGGGGCGATGCAAACTCGTGGCCCGGCAATGCCGCCGTCACAATTGGCGCGCCCGCCTCGAAGAGCTTTGCGGCTCGCTCTTGTTAATCATCCTCCCGAGGATTATCTGCTCCCACGTTGGCTCTGCAATCCTCACGGGATTCGACGGATGCCTTTTCAAATCAAAGTACCTTCTCAGTCGTCGATGAATGATCCATCTGTCTATGCCGCGTGCGTGCACGAGAGGCAAAGACCAGCAGATTCCCATCGCGTCTCCTGATCTCATGCTGTGTGGCATGTTTACAGTGGCGGGAAGTAGTATTCCCGTCCCCGTCCCCCCCTCCTTCCTGGTTTCTCTGCTCTTTGCATATTCATCACACGCCGAGGTGAGATTAAAATTGCTGACCTGAAATCTTTGCGTATGATAAAGCTGCAAAGAAGACAGAAATCAGGAAGGGTTTTTTGGCGCATGCCTAACGAATCGTCACGACAACGTGACTGCTGAGGTGTGAAATGACGGTCAGGCTCCGCTGACGCCGGCGTGCGGGCTTGTGTCAGGAACCTGGAACGGCACCACCAAGGTGGCGGTGAAGACTCTGAAGCCCGGCACCATGTCCCCCGAGTCCTTCCTGGAGGAGGCTCAGATCATGAAGAAGCTCCGCCACGACAAGCTGGTGCAGCTGTACGCCGTCGTGTCTGAGGAGCCCATTTACATCGTCACCGAGTACATGGGCAAAGGTACCCCAACGCTCGCACCGACACCGGCAGACGGACACGTTGGTTGACATCAAATATGATCGCCCTCTAGGGAGTCTACTGGACTTTTTGAAGGACGGAGAGGGGCGAGCCTTGAAGTTGCCCAACCTCGTGGATATGGCTGCCCAGGTATGTGCCCATTTTAAAAATTTGTTTTTAACTTCTGCCAACCCCACCCATTCCAAACTATGATGAAAAAAAAATACGACTAAACTTTTGCTCTAAAATAACAAATCACATGAAACCTCCAAAGCCCGAAACCCAATCGGTTCATCGGAGTCCAACAATTGCCGTCATCAGCGGAATCTTTCGACACTGTTCCGACACTATTTTTAATCACGCGGTAGCAGTGAAATGCTACCGTGCGAAACGCTGAGTAGCTTAAAATGATTTTCCCCCTTGAATGTCACCGGACGGAAAGGTGATGATGGGATTGCCCAATGAGTTCAATTCATACCCCGACACTCTCCGCTGTTCTATGCAAATGTCAAAAGAACAACTGGTCTCGGCACGTCTTAACGATTGAAAGCACATCCTGCGGTTTGCTTGTTCCGCACGCACGGTCAAGATTGTCAAACTTTATTTGTACTTTTCATTTTCTGAGTGAATTCCAGATTTCAAAAAAAAAAAAAAATCCACCGGACTGACGCATTCGCTAACTAGGACGCGCGCGTCAAATGAGGGCAATCCACTTCAAGGTCGGCGAGATGGAGCCCCTTGAGAAGCCCGCCAAATGAAGGCTGCTAATGGGGGCAAAAAAAAAAAAATGACGCAGCCGTTGATAACGCGTAACGCAGCCGATTCTTCTGCGCCACGCTCCAGGTGGCGGCGGGTATGGCTTACATCGAGAGGATGAATTACATCCACCGAGACCTGCGCTCTGCCAACATCCTGGTGGGAGACAACCTGGTGTGTAAGATCGCCGACTTCGGCCTCGCCAGACTCATCGAAGACAACGAATACACAGCTCGGCAAGGTGGGTCTTTCCGTCCCTCCTCGAGCTTCCGACGAATCCAGTTCCGGCTGCGCCGAATCATCCCGGCCGATGTCACCCGCGCAGGTGCAAAGTTCCCCATCAAGTGGACCGCCCCGGAGGCGGCGCTCTACGGCAAGTTCACCATCAAGTCGGACGTGTGGTCATTTGGCATCTTGCTGACGGAGCTGGTCACCAAGGGGCGAGTGCCTTACCCGGGTGAGCGTCCGAGGCCGAGGACGGCATTTGGCTTTGCCTTTCAATCTCAGGGGACCGTGAAACCTCCCTTGACCGGGAGTGGTTGGCAAAGTACACGCTGCCGCCGGGGCCCCCTTATCCGATTTTATATCGAGCTTCCCTCTGTCGCTCTTCTCGCGCGCCATCTGCTGCACATGACAAATGACGCTCGGTGGGACGCTAGCTAGATATCGCGCTATGTGTGTTCGTGTCACGCGGCTCCAGCCCGTTTGCGTTTTTGAAGGTTTGCCAGCCCCCCCCCCCCCTTCCTCCCGTGCTTTCCAGGCATGAACAACCGCGAGGTGCTGGAACAGGTGGATCGAGGCTACAGGATGCCCTGCCCCCAGGACTGCCCCATCTCCCTGCACGAGCTCATGCTGCAGTGCTGGAAGAAAGACGCGGAGGAGCGGCCCACCTTCGAGTACCTGCAGGCCTTCTTGGAGGACTACTTCACAGCCACCGAGCCTCAGTACCAGCCTGGAGACAACCTCTAGATCTAGAACGTTCTTCCCCTCTGCCTTGACGTTGGAACTAAATGCAAAGACAAACAAAGAAAAAAAAGACAAACTGGAATCTTCCTGGACTTGCCACTGTTTTATTTTCAGGAGGGTCTGCAAAAGCATCCTTTGCTCAACTCCATCTTTTCATTTCGTAGGACGACCCCCCCCCCCCGCCCCCCTCCCTGAACTCTGCAATGTGATGCTAAGAGGTGAGCTTGAATGATGCAATGCCACACTTCTATTCAGTGTAAATAATTTTTTCAAGGATTGTTTTAATTTGTCTGTTTGCTTCAGTGCGTTTTTCATCTGCCAAAAGCGAAGGTTAAGAACCATTTCATCCGTCTCTGCGGGGTGTGTAATTCCCAAAGATTCCCTTTCATTTTTTTTCCCCCCCCGTCCTCCATCAGATTACATTTTCCGTTCTGTTCTCGTTCTCCTGAGGCCGTTTTATTTTTGCTTCGCCCAGACTGCTTGTTGTCTTCTCACTCCTGCTGTCTGTCTGTCTGGAATGACATGATACAAATTTTTTTTGGGGGGGCCCTGTACAGATTGCCAACATATCCCTCCCTCCCTTTTTAACATTTTCGCAAATTGTGAGCAGGTGGAAAAGTCATTGTCACACAATCAGGCATACTTTTTTTGCACCTTATTTCCTCATGTAGTGGAAATATGGTTCATATAGTTGCCAGGTGCAACAGCTGGTTTTAAAAATAAAAGCCTCTGCGCAAACGGTGCCTCTTTTTTTTTCCTTTTTTACCGTATTTCCTCAAATATTCTTAGTTACCTCCACTCCATTATTACTGGATGTGTACTGGACTTCTCAACGGAATTGAATCGGCTCAGAAAGCATTCTTTAGTTTTCGTAAACTGCTGAATAGTCACACCATTCTCTGGTATGCTTTTGATGCCATTTTGTTGATATGTTTTTTAAATTAATTCAGTGGTTTGGCATTTTTCAGGGTCAAAAGAAGAATAAACTTTTGAAATGTTTCTCAGGTGCATCCTATTGTTTGTACGCGGTAAGTACCGTGCTCACTTTTCTTGACACTTTTCCTGAACTTTATTGCTGTTGTTTGTTTTCAGCTGTTGAAGTTCATATATCGTTCTGATATTTTGATTGGATGATGGGCCCAGTTAATGTGGATTATTGGATGGATGATTTGCCGAATGGCTCCTCCCAAAGCTTTTAATGCAGTCACGCCCTTTGCTATCACATTTCGACCATAAAGTTGTTGTCATAGTGGAGCCATAAACAGCTGGATTGTACCTCCACTTGGCCAGAAGAGACTTGAAATGAGACCGCAGGAAACGCCAGGTACGTGTTATGTCATCTTTTAAAAAGAAATCTGGATAGTCCTCATATGCTTCTTATATTGATAACAATAATAATAATAATAATAATAAATTGTGCCTTTATAATAATACTGTAGAACAAGAATATGCTGTGCTTTAAAAAAAATGACATGTATTTTCCTTCTGTAGCCCAACCTTACATTCTGCAAATTTCCAGATCACTCAGGTCACATTTTAAATGATGGCCACGGAACATTTAATGGTATATCTCTAGACGTGTATGGCCCTCTGAAAAAGGTGCCACCGTATTTCATATTGTAATGAGTAACGAATTACATGACTGAAGTTGTGTCAAGTTGCGGAATTCAATGCTAAGAACAGCTTTTATATCTGCAGAGATGAGGAGGTGAGGTATCGCCTGGGAGGGAATTCACCATGGAGGGAGTTGGCGTCACCATCTTTGTCACCGTTCAGAAGATCTACTACCCGCTCCTTTGCGTCATGGGAATACCAGGTACTGTACATGATGCCATTTTGTTGATTGGTTTGCCACGTGCCAATTCAAAGCAACGTTCATCAAGAACGTCATGAATCGGCCGATTGATTTATTCGATTGACTCTATGTTGACATGTCATTTGTGGACACTGTTTGCTCGGGTCTCCTACAAACAAAAAAATAAACAAAGTTTTGATCTATAAATGTGACTTTCACAATCAGAATGCTGCTGAGCATGTCTGCCATGCAGTTGCGTAAACGGCGCAACGGGACTCGGTGCGACTGTTAAAAAAAATAAATGAAGAAACATCAAACTCCGCCACTTTAGACAACATGCTCTGATACAAAACTATATACAGTAAACCCGAGTGTTGTACTGTAGTAGCAACAAGTTTTTAAAGTTCAAATCTGCAGTCACTGACGGTCTTACAGCATTGACTGTCATTTACTGCCCCCCTGCGGTGAAAACGTTCTCTGCAGTTTGGTCAGATTGACTTCTGGACAACGTACAAGGCGTCTCCAAGGCAATTTCTGAGTTGCGAGGTTAAAGACGTGCGAGTGTGCGCGGAAATCGTGCTGGAAACTCACCGGCTCCGACTGCGGTTCCCGGCAAGTCAAGCTTCAGCCGTCTTAATTTGCTCGCCTTGTTCCGCAGCCAACCTCTTCACGTTCTACATGATCCGCTTCCGTAAATGCGGAATGTCTGAGCCGGCCGCGTTGTACCTCGGCTGCCTCGCTATCGTGGACACCTTCTACCTGGTGTGGGTGATCCTCGTCGACCTGACCCTCACCTTCTGGCTGCTGCAGCCCTTCTGGAACTCCCAGCCGTGGTGCGGCATCCTGGGCTTCCTGCAGTACGGCTCCCTTTACAGTTCGTCGTGGATCGTGGTGGTGTTCACCATCGAGCGCTACCTGGTGCTTCGCAGCACGGCGGCCAAGCGGCACTTCTCGCAGGCGAGGGTCACCAAGCTGACCTGCGTGGCCGTGGTCGCGGCGTCTCACTTGGTTTCCGTGCCGCTCGGCTGGATCAACGCGGTGGTGTCCGTCAATATTACGGTGGACGGAGAAAACGTGACCCTGCCCCGATGTCAATACCGGGATGAGGTCTACCCCACCGTCATCGTATGGATCACCACCTTTCTCTCGGGAGGTATCCCCATCGTGCTGGTCATCGCCTTTAATTACCTCATCGGGCATCATCTGTGCCGTGCCAGTAATCTTTTTACGAAGGAGGAGCGTCGCGTCATGCGCGGACGTAGCGCAAGGGGGATGTTAAGGAGGACCCTCCTCCTGCTGGGGACGGTCTCCGTCACCTTCGTGGTGCTCAGCCTGCCTCGCTTCGTCACATACTGCATCCTGAGGACCGAGCACAACACGCGGAGCTTCAACAGAAACGACTACCGAATCCCCATCAATGTCGCCGGTGACGTGGCCAACATGCTCCAGAATCTCAACTCCACCACCAACTTCTTGCTCTACTGCATGGTCAGCGGCCGCTTCCGACAGGAGCTGCTTCGGGTCGTGACTTGTAAAGCCGTGACGGGAGAACCTTCCTCTTTCCTCACACGCACGATGACGGTCTTCTCGGTGTCGGAACAGAAGGCCGCCTCATCTCGTCAGCGTGGCCATTACCGCTCTCGGACCAGTCAACTTGAGGAAACAGAAATGTATAAATAAATAGCAGACAAAAACGTTTATGCAACTCAAGCTGTCTTTTTGGGCTCGATAAAAAGTCGTCCTTGGTTTACCACAGAGTTGGCCTCGCCTCCACCTTAGCTCTCTGAGCTCCTCCGCCCCTGCAGGTGCCTCAGGTCTGCAGACCGGACACGATCAGAGGTACCGAGAACTAAGCGAAGGCCCGCAGGCCTTTGAGCCTTCGAGCCTTTTCCGTTGCCGGTCCCCTCTCTTTGGAACGTTCAGCAAGCCCCCTCGCTGCCCATCTTTTAAAACGCGTCTTTAAGAATAGAATTCATACAAAATGTAAATACATTTTGAATCACTGTTTTGAGGAAGATTGTTAACAGTCATCAAATTGCTACATGACCAGTTGACTCGTTCCATATCGACAGTTTGTAAACTGGTGCCAATTTTGCACGTCTGTGTGTGACAGTATTACCATATTCATGATTGTAGCTTTTGATCGCTTTTCCACAACACTGGACATTTTTAAGTGCTCAAGAAGTCTTTTCATCTTTTTTATCTTCGTCATTGTTTCATCATCATTGCACCGCTGGTCAGTTTAAATTATGTGATGATTCTCTGCATCATCTGATACCTGTTCTTGGCTCAATTTTACATACTTGGCCAATAAATATGATGCTGATTCTGATCAAGGCGTCATTTGTTCCAAGTGCATAGTTGCAATTTAAAACTGTCCACCAGAGGGAGCCACAGCATTACCTGCCTCTGTGAGAAAAACAATGTATCATTTTATTTTTAAGAAATCCTGACAAAACCTCCCCATCAGCACGTTTGCGAATTTGATACACTTAATATTGGTATCTTTTAAATAATTTTAAATTGCTCCTCCGTTGGGTTGTCAGTGGTAACGCGAACGTGCTACGTCGAGCCAATGCGTCACATGATGCCTTAAGTGCAATGGGAAATGTAGGAAAATTCCGAACACCATCCCTCGAACGCACACATACAGCATGGCTCAGTGGTAGAACGGTCCTCTCCCAACACAGGTTGTGACTTCAATCCCTGGACCTTGTGACCATGTTTAGAGTGTTCTTGAGAAAAATACCGAACCCCCAGTTGTTCTTGAAGGCACGTCATCAGTAGGTGGATGAGGTGTCAGTATAGAAGCGGGTTGGGTGCCCCGTCGGTGGCAAAGTGCTATACAATTGAAAGCCGTCGAAAAAAACCACAAAAACAACATTTAAAAAATATGTATAGTCAGTTACTTTGGCTCAGTTATCTTGGGTGTGTGTTATCAATTTGCTTTTGAAAGGAATTTAAAACTGTGCGGCCGAAGTGAAACGCAGAATTGGTGCTAAAGTTTACGGAATGTCTCTGAACGCATCACTTGTTCCAGGGAACCCACTGAGCTGTAGCTGACTGCCATCCGGGCGGCGAAGCGCCGTATCACGTCTCCAAGTACGTCACGAAACCCCGAGAAACTGCGATTTCCTTCTTCCCCACTTTCAGTGAGCCGTCACCAGAAGTGGAGCAACAAAAGACCATGTAGGATTTGACTGCTGCGAGTTTCGATTTGTTTTTTTTTTCTTTCTTTTTGACTTTTATCGGCTCTTGCACAAACTAAAAAGCTCCTGACCCGCCGCCCCGTCCCATTCACCTCTTCGCCTTTCACCCTTGAACCGTGAACTTTGGTGAAAACTACCAAACAAGTCAACACGTCATCGAAATCCCAGCCTGTGTGTGAAATAGTCGACGTGACAAGACTTTGACCATGAGGTAAGCCCCAGTTTGTGTTCAGTACAACATGCAGACGAATCTTTCTGTGCCGTGCGACAACGTGATGGAAGTTGAGAGCAGCATTCAGCCCGCAGACAGTGCAAACGAGCTCGACGTGCGGATTTCGGAAACAACGGCTCCCTAAAGTTAGTCTGAATGTCAATGAGATTCCAGAACCTCCACCGAGGGCCGTTCCCCGCGAGGCTGTTTTTTAAGATCGGCTCATGTAGCGGTGTCAGCTTTGTGACCGCCGACTGCCTTGTCGAACGCTAACTTGCTTGTGCAGCATTTTGTGTTTTGGAATGGCGCGTGTGGCGTTTTCTGCTCCTACTCCCACACAGCACAGGAGGGATTATGATGGGGTGCCGTGTATTTTATGCAACATTAGACGAACACACACGAATAGGACGGAGACGCGGTCAAACGGAGTTAAATGAGTGCATCCGAGCGTTTTTTTTGTGTGTGTGTGTGTGTGTGTGTGTGTGTGTGTGTGTGTGTGTGTGTGTGCGTGCACAGCCAACATGTCCACTGAAAGAAGGAAGGATTGTCAAAGGAGGACATCCATGCACGTGTGCATCACGTCAATACAATACCTCGGCAACATTTTGTGCTTCTGACCCGAATGAGAGAAGATCACCAATGGACAGAGTCCGACACTCGCCGAAGTGCAAATGGGATTTCTCCACTTAACACGCGATCAGGTGATCGTTTTGAGGCAAACTGAGATGCACTGCTTGTCTGTGAACACGAAGACCATGAAGCTAACTGTCTTTTTTGAAAGAGCAACAATAATCCCAAACTGCAAGAACCCGCCCTGCTTCATTTCATTCCCAAACAACTTCAGGACAAGTGTGGATTTTGATTGATTTCTTTTATTTTTAACCTGGGAGAAAACCCATTGTGGATTTGTCTTAAACAGGAGACATGCAGAGTTGATAAAGGCTGCTTCTTCAGATTTTTTTTTTTTTTTTTTAAAGAAAGGCAGTAATTGAATCCAGCTGTAGGCCAAGCTGAAGTGAACAAAAGCTTTAGTTGTTGCTGAGGAGCAGCTCGCTGTGCACATTGCGGCATGAAAACAACTTGACTGTCTGCATGGTTGTTCCCATCTTCTTGGTGTTCTTTCTGATAGATGAGCTTTTGAAACGTCGGCCTATTGGAAGTGCATCTGCTGACATCACTGAAAAACCGATGACAGCAGAGAAGAATTGCCTTGTAAACAAGCTTTTCTCCTTGCTTTTTTTTGGGGGGGGGGGTTTGTTTTAAAGGGGGCGGATCTGCATCCAGATGGTGGTATTTTAGTGCATCTGTGTCTGGTGTGTAACGTGTCCGTATGAATGGCAGACTCAGCTGCCCACAGCTGACTCATGCGGGACGCTGAGCGGCAGATGGGCCGCGCAGCCCCACTTAACATTTAGTTTCGACTCTCTCCGCTTGCGCTTCACTTGAGTCTCGACTGAAAAAGGCCCGGTGAGTGGCATTCGGTTCTTTTTGTGATGAACTGTTGCCATGTTGTACGAAGCAGCCAGGACAGATACAGCGGTGCCTCGACTTACGAACGTCTCTTCAAAGGTTCATTGATTGAAGAATTGAACAGTGATGCGGCTGAGCAATTTGGATGTGGCTTGTGACGAATCTGCAGACAGAAAACACCAAATTCCTGGACTGACCTTCAAGCCGTACGCAACATTTGGCAGAGCTAATCAGGCCGAAATAATGAGCGACAGGAGAACGGTGGCTGTCAGTTGATTTGCCTGCAATGTGTCAAGGCGCACATCAGGCTTGTCGAGGCGAGGAAGATAAGCGACCTCGTCGGGGTCACCGGAGTGTGAAGAGTCACGGCAACAGGCCTTGACGACCGCGGACAGGCATGCGGACAAAGGACAGAAGCGGAGACCCGTTCGCTCGCGGCGTCGGAACTCGCCACTTTGAGTTGGCCGGCGACCAGTCAAGCTGTCGGATCGAACGGAGGCATTCGTCAGGTCGACCCGAGGCCATTTCGGGAATGCAAATCAAATTCATTCGATGCCTTCGTTTCAGGGCTGGAAAGTTTCCTTGTGAGAGCTTGAACCAATGGTGTCCAATCTACGGGCCGGGGGCCATTAGCGGCCCGCTGTCCATTTTTCAGCGGCCCGTGACATGACGAAAAAAACCCCCCGATACATTGGCCACGTGGTAACAAGAGCATCAGTGTGACTGTAGCGCTGATAGAAAGTGATGTTTACCTAGCTCGAAATATGTCCTTCAGTTCATGTGTGATTGACGGAAGGGTTGTTTGTTCAACCTGCGAGCGGGTGTCCTCGCCGCGTCGCGGCTTTGGTAAGTTCCTGCCACTGACATCACGTCGTGGGAATGAAAGGATGGAATGTTGTGAACTTGCAGTGGAGTGTCTAGACGAAGGCCAGGCGTAGCTTGGAAACAGAAAAGTTGCACAGGCTTGCCTGACGGAGCCAAGAGACAAACCACAAGTGGCTGTCACTTGTCACCGTTGACACCTCGGCTCTCTTCGCACGTTCCCAAAATCCATCGTCGGCTCACATGATATGACGCAAGCAAGGTTCAACCACTTGGTTGTCCTTATACGACTCTCATATCGAAATGAACCGATGCCGGCCGACGGCGTACGGATAGATGCGACCTGTCCCTTCAGACCGATGTCGGGCCCCCCCCCCATGTATCAGTCGAGCCTCCCCCTCAAATAAAAAAAGTCAAAGTGTATGAAAAAGTGATGACTGTTCTCTCAAGAGGCCTTCTGATTCCCTTGTCGGTTGAAGACGGAAGCGATTGAGTAAAATGGTTTTCTAATTGGTTTTCTTCCAAACAAGGCATGCGCCGCCGCCCCGTTGCCGCGTCGACAAGCACCCGCGCCGCCGCGTGCTGAATAATTCATTCGGGCTGGCTAAGGGAGCGTTTTGCAGCCAGCTCACGGCAGCTATGGCTTTGCGAGAATTTTCCGCATCCATTTGGCTTTTCATCGCCGGCTTACGGAAGGAGAAGGAGGAGGCGGAAGAATAAAATCATCCATTTCCTGATGGAAACGGCTTTATTTTGCGAGCAGATAGAATTGCACACGCGCTGACGCCTCCTCGAGAGTCAAACAAGAGGAAAGGAAATTTCGCGTATCGATAACTGATCACGACCCCGTTGTCCTTTCTTCTACTTTCTGCTGACTCGAGTCAAACTTGTTCTTGGAACTAGCTCCAGTCAAGAAAATGAGACCCTCATGAAACTTTCAAGAGGTCTCCGCTTCAATGCGCGCAGTCTACGCGCAGCTTTTGAGC